CTGGATTGCTGATTCTCCTCTTAGTGACAGTCAGATTTTAAAATAAGTAATGGTCATTTGAATATGGAATCTTCCAGGGGCGTGTGTTTCTCCATGTTTGTTCCCTGCATAGATAGGGGCCCTGTCACTCAACAAACTGTAAATGCTGAAGATGAAGCAAGACCAACATTGATTTACTATTTCTCAATACTATCTGCAATGGATGAGGAACTGATTCTTGGGAGTATCTGAAGCACTGCAACCAGACAATCATGGTGCAAGACAGTCCCACACCCAAAATACATGTACAGTAGTAATCTCAAATACACAAAAAACAATTTAATCAATCAGAATAGAGCTGGAAGGGACCTTGGAGGTCTGCTAGTCCAGCCCCCTGCTCAAGCAGGAGTCCCTATACCATTTCAGACAAGTGGCTATCCAGTCTCTTCTTAAAAACCTCAAGTGATGAAGTACTGACGTCTGAAGGCAGGCTGTTCCACTGGTTAATTGACCTCACTGTTAGGAAATTTTTCCTTAATTCTAGGTTGCTTCTCTCCTTGATTAGTTTCCATTCATTGTTTCTTGTCTTGCCTTCTTGGTGCTTTGAAAAATAAATTGACCCCCTTCTTGTGGTAGCCTCTCAAATATTGGAATATGCTATCATGTCACCCCTAGTCCTTTTCTCTAGACTGGCTATTCCCAAATCCTGCAACTATTCTTCATATGTTTTAGTCTCCAAGCCTTTAATCATCTTAGTTGCTATTCTTTGCACCTTTTCCAGTCTCAACTTTTTTGTAATCTGACCAAAACTGGATGCAATATGCTAGATGTGCCTTACAAAGGCTTTATAAAGCAGTATTAATACTTCACGTGATTTTGATTCTATGCCTCTGTTTATACAACCAAGGATTGTATTAGCTTTTTTGGCTGCTGCCACATATTGCTGACTCATGTTTAAATGATCGTCCACTAGGACGCCAAGGTCCCTCTAACAGTTACTGGTTTTGAGCCAGTAACTTGTACCTTTGGTTTTCCTGCCTACGTGTAAAACCTTGCTTTTCCCCACATTAAATATCATTTTGTTGGATAGGAATATCATTTTATTCGATAAGGCCCATTGTTCAAGTCTGTCAAGATTTTTTGGGATCCTGAGCTTGTCTTCTGGGGTATTGGCTATTCCTGCCAGCTTAGTGTCATCTCCAAATTTGATGAGATCCCCTTCTGTTTCCTCATCTAAGTCATTTATGAAGATACTGAAGAGCACTCGGCCTAAGACGGAACCCTGTGGTACCCCACTGCCTACTTCCCTCCATGTAGATGCAGTACCATTAAGGACTACTCATTGAGTACGGTTTGTCAGCCAGTTACAAATCCATCTGGTGGTGATGCTGTCTATCCCACATTATGTCCAAAGTTCATGTTTAGTTAGTTAGAAGAGACTATTCAAAGCACATGAATAATGTTCCTAATGTCCACATTCAGTTCAGAAAATCCAATTATCTACTTCTGGACGAATCTCATTTGGGAAAGGGATGTCACATCATTGGAAGTATTTCCCCATTTTTCATGTCAGCTTTGTAAAACTGGTTTTGTTCACCTTCTATACAGGCAGTCAGGTTACATCCCTATTGAGATAGAAGTTTTATTGTTAGGTGAAGCATTCCTTAGGTGAAACATCACTTAACCATGGCACTTCCAAGTATTCCTGGCTCTGCTCATTAGGCCAAGATTGCACCATTGCTAGGTCAAGACTCCCATGTTTCTCCTGCCCTGCAGCACTTACTTCTGCTTCAATTCACCCTGCCAACCTATCTCCTATCTCTGCCCCTTTGGCTGTCCTACCCTCCCCTACTGCCTCCAGGTGACCTTTGCCATCATCCTGTTGCTGACAAGGTGACAAAGGTTATCTGGGGGTAATGGGGCAGCAGAGACAGAGGACAGCCAAAAAGGCAGAGATGGGGAAAAGCAGGCAATGGAGTTGAAGTGTACCCTGAGATCATAAATATGGGCAGGCTGTCAAGCACCCGAATTTTGATCATACGACTGGGGGTATTGCTGAAATTTCAAGGACCTTTTAACTAGCATTCATTCAGCACCACTATAACTTTGAGCAGTCGTTGAACAAATGGTCATAACCAAGGACTATCTGTATTGACAAGCCAGCTAACCATACTTTTTTTTTTCTTTCAGGTGAATGGAGGGGAGGAAGATTCTGGTGCACCTCCACTTAAGAGATTTTGTGCAGATAAGAACTCCATATGTCATGCAGCTTCTGAGAGCTAGCCAATCTGCTTCATCCTGTGATGCAGTGGTTTTCAAAACTCCACCTGCCCTTCCCTCTCAAAATACCAATCTGTTTAAGTTGGTATTCTTTTCCACCTCCATGTTTTTCTCCTGTGCAGTGTCCTCCAAGAATCAACCTGCTCTTTCCATAACCTCTCCAGATGAAACTTTGCTCAACCTGTGTTAAGATATGTCCCTTTTGTGCAATCTCATCCCAGCCACATCCTCTTGACTTGCACGCTTAAGGAATGAGGTGGTTGCAACCTCTCTTGTATACTTTTTATTTATCCTCTTTGTGGGCTTTGGGGACTGCAGCTAAGAAGGTTCCTGTAAGAAAGAGTTCTCTGTACTTAACAGGTAGCTCATAAATTCTTTCCTGTCCTTTCTCCTCCAGACAGTGAAGAATTCTCTCTGGAAGTGAGTCAGGACCTGGTGGAAGTCTGCCTGGGATGTTGTGCAATAGTTGTGGTGTTAAGCCTTAGTGCTGGAGGGAGCCAAAACTTTTCCTTCCATGGTAGGGTAATGGTGCTGCAGCTAAGAAGGTGTTCTAGGAAGTGAAGGCTAGGCTGCATCTAGGTGGCTAAAGGGCTCTCCTTTGCAGCCTGGCAAACGTGGACCTTGGGGTGAAGAATATCTTCCCAGGTACCAAAGGGGCATTGTCTCTGAGCAGCCCTTCTCAGGGGTGGAATAGCCACCTAGCACAGCTAGCACCAATCACCCAACCCTCTCTAGTCTCTGCAGACCTGTCCTGCCCATCACAATCTGCATGTGGAACTGACTTCATGATCAGGGCCCTGCTGCCATGAAAAGTGCTGGCCACGCAGGGAAGCAAAGAGATATTTTAGCACTGAAGAGAATATTTTTAAAATTAAACTATTTGAAATAGTATATGTGTGAGGAAATGTATTTGGGGGCGGGGGAAAGATATTCACAGGAAATGGGATGACTGGCATAGAAGACCTCTTCCCATTTGCATGGGAATCATGATAGAAACTTATCTTGACAGCATCATTTTTTTATGCATTTCCCATAATGTTACTTTTATCTAAGTTCCACTCCATTCATGAAGTGTACTGGCACAAAACTAGTTGTTTTCATCTTTGTTCCTATACCATAAAAGTGATAAATGATTAGGTTTTCTCACCCATTACTTTAGATATTGGGACTATAGTGAATGCGGGAAAATGTACTGTAGTGAGAATAGGAATGGCGTTGATAAGTAAGGGGAACAATACGTTTCAGGTAGGTCTAATTTTCTGCCATCTCCCAAATAGATGTATTTCAACCTAACTTTGAAGAAAGCTTGAAGAGTTTTGTTAGGGGGATTTCATGGAAAACTTTCCACGGGCAAGAGTAGGAGAGCAGGAGAGCACAAAGTCAGTCCATAACTTTAAGAATTACCACTGCCCCATCTAAAGCTAGAAGAATGTGAGGCGAATGTAACCTACAGACCTTAATTCAACTAAGTCAAGAAAATGTCCCATTTAGATTAACTATGTGTATAAAAATACTGAATGCTACTAAGTTCGGGGGGAGGAGATATCTGCATTTGGACAGAGCTATAACAGTAAAAGGTCAGGGTCTTCAAAGAAGTTCCTCTCCAGATGAATTTGATGTTCAGATCCCAAGCCCAGCCATCATATAGCAGGCTTTGCTTTTAAAGGCAAAAGCCATAATTTATGTTTAAGATGATGGCAAGGATACTAGAGACAATTAATAGGCCCTTTTCTGATTATTGGTTGGTACTAAAAGTGGGGTTTTGAACTGAACTAACCTTATCTTACTCAAAGATGGCATTCTGAGGAATTGAAATGCTATCTCTGCCCTTTTTAGGATACTGCCATTATCAACTGATGGAATAGTAATCCTTTTGGGTTTTGCTTAGAGCCTGGCCAAATTGTTCCATGTATATTTTTAAGTGGTTTTTGCTGACAGATGATCGCCTGTGACCAGCTTGCATAAGTGCCCTTATGCTCCTCCTGATGCAGATACTTGTATTTGAAGATATTTTGGCAGGCTTGGCCCCTGAATCTCTTTTTAGAAATCTAAAAGTCTTGAATTACTATGATGTATGATGAAAAAAGGTTTTCACAAGTTCCTGCCATTGCATTTGATGAAGACCAAGGGAGAAGAGAGGGTTGACGTATTCTCCAAAGCATCAGAGGGCAGGACAAGAAGTGGAACCTTATTAAAAAGAGATCCAACCTAGAAATAAGGAGATATTTTCTTTCAGAACAATTAATCAATGAAATAGCTTGCCTCCGAGTGTTGTAGGTAGTCCATTATTGGAGGTTTTCAAAAAATAGACTGGAGAAACATTTGACCTGGATGTACATAGTCCTCGATTTACAACGGTTCATTTAGTGACCGTTCAAAGTTACAAGGACATTGAAAAAAGTGACATGACCATTTTTCACAGTTACGACCTTTGCAGCATTCCCCCATGATCCTGTGATGAAAATTCACATGCTTGGCAAGTGATTGATATTTATAATGGTTGTCGTGCCCTAGGGTCATATAATCACCTTTTGCAATCTTTTGACAAAGTCAATGGGGAAGCCAGAATCACTTAACCAGATTCCTAATTTATCAACTGCAGTGATTCAATTAACAATGGAGGCAAGAAAGGTTATAAAACTGGGCAAAACTCATTTAACAATAGAAATCTTGGGTTCAATTGTGGTCGTTAGTCAAGGACTACCTGTATATGGTCGTCTGCCTTGAGCAAGGGAGTTGGACTAGAAGACCTCCAAACTCCCTTTCAGCCCTATGATTCTATATTATATATTATACAAACCCAAAACTTCAATGGTCTCTTCCAAGCCTACAGATCTGTAAAAATGATTCTGTGATAAACATATCCCAAAAGTGCTTTTTCCAAAAGGCAACTGGACTTTGTTTTTTGTTTTTCCTTTGAAAACGTTTAGCTTCTCATTCAAAAAGCTTCAGTTCTAATCGACTAGTGGGGGATTTCAAAGGAAGAAAACCCCAAGAAAGGCCAGTTGCTTTTTGGAAAAAATACCTTGGGACAATCAAGACCTGGATGATTGAGACTATCCATAGACACGTGATAAACGTGTCTTGCAAAATCGCTTCACCTAATTTTTCCGTGGAGAACGTCAACCTTGGCTTTTCTCATGTAGCCTGGTAGCGATACCGCTGAAGCTTTAGAGGCCTCTTCTTTTTCTATATTTATGTTCAGCGCCATCTTGCCGTATCCATGGTAAAACGGCCTAGTCGAGACGCCGCTGCCTTCCTCTCCCCGCCCCGGGAGCGATGGCGGAGGCGGCTTGGAACGAAGACACGGGCGGGGCGGTATACCGATCCCGAGACCCCATCCGTAACCTGCGCGTCAGGTTGGTGCTCCCTTCCCTTCTCTGCCGTGAAATGCCTCGATCTCTTCTCGCGACTCAAAGTGGCTGCAACCGCCCCCGGCGGTCCGTTACTCATCTTTTTGCTTTGCAGCCCGCCCATCAATCAAACAAACCAGTCTGGAAAAGATCCTGTGGAATCAATATACTGGTTTCCAAAAGGGAAACTAATGTATTTTACTTGGTTTTCTTACACTAAACTGGGCTCTCCCTTTCAAAATTACACCTCAAATGCCCCGTAAACGCGCACAGGCAGCAAATCGTTTAATAATGTCTACCCTCCCCGAGAGAAAAATCGCGGAGTAGCATCGTTAATGTTCTCTAGTATTGAAAGAAGGGTAAAGCCTTTATAATCCACCTCAGGAATGCAGGGTTTCCCCCCCACCCAAAAAAAATTGGCAATAGCTTGCGAGTATGAGGCGGTATTAAAAGTTGAATTAAAAGAAATGCAAGCTGCGATCTGAGGATTTGGTAACAATGTGCAGAATAAGCAGTAAACAACCACAGCATCAACTGACAGTAACAGTAAACTTAGAAAAATAAAATAAATGCATAGGATAAGATGCACAAATAATTGAGGGTTAGGGTTCCTGGTATAAAATATAAAAAAAAATTAATTTCAAACATGCTATAAAATAATTACAAACATAGCTGCAGTGATATAGAAATAGAACGTAGTAATGTGATAATATATATATATATGAATATGTGTATGAGAAAGTACCTGTATTTCAATTACAGTTAATCTTATTCAGAGAGAAATCATTTAATTTTTAATATATCCTACAGCTCTAATTAATATATTCAAGGAGTCTAATATAACTGAATGCAGAATACAATAAGTTTTTAAACAAAGCAAAATTAATATTAGAATATGTCTACTATGTGCTGCAAAAAGCTAGACAACTGCTAGAAAATAGCAAATGTTAAGAATGACTAGTATTCCTTAGCTAGCATGTGGTTTTTAGAGTTTTACAGTTCTGATTTGATAGCTCTAAAAATAATTAACAAAAATCTGGTTCTGTTGCACTTCTGTGCATAAAGAATACATAGCATCTTATTTTTTACTCACAACTACTAGGTACAACAACAGTGCAATACAGATGTTACTATAAAATCAAAGATAATAAAAAAATAATCTGAAAATCAGGAAATGTATATTTAAATTACAAGTACTCAAATGGTTAAAAGAGAACTCACCCCTTAAAATCACTGTAACACCTACATAGAGAGTAACAAAAATCTACGGTATGTGTATCCACAGTCCTGAAAAAATAATAATTTAAGAGGAAAAATTAAACAAAAACTTTATACCAAAATATTATTTAATTCAGAAACCATTAGTTTACTTATTGTCACCAATAAAGGCTCAGATAATAGAAATAGATAATATATATTCAATACTGCTGGAAATGTAATAATTCAGATCTGGTGGCAAGCTCAACCATTCTGGAAGATGCCTCACAATGGAATGAAACAGATTTTAGATTCTGATCTTAATATTCCTGCAAGTATTTTTCTGTTAAACACCCCTGACTATATCTTTTTACAAAGTATACTGAAGTAGCTTTGCACATAACTGCTCCTAAGATACTTTATACTTCATATTGGAAATTATACTCAGTTCTTTCTTTAGAATACTGGCAGATCCAATTCTGGAAGTATGCATCAATGTCAAAATTGATTTCATATTTTTAAAAAATATGTCTGATAACTTTAGCTTGGAAAACAGTTATGAATTATAACTCTGCACATAGACCTCTGCCACAACTGAAATTTGAATTTCTCTTAAAATCTTAAAATACTGAGTTCTGTCTAAGTGGTTATAAAGTTAAGGACAGATTATCTCAGATTAGCTAGAAATTTTTATCCTACAATTTTGACTGAAAATTCTTATTATTGTAGTTGCCATTGTTAATTTCTGACTTCACCCTATTGATAATTTAAAATTGATTGATTTGTGATTATCTCCATGTATTCTCTTAGTTTAATGTTACTAGTGGAATATTAAAGGAATGGTTTTCTTAAAATTTTATCATTTTTATTGGTTTGTAAATCCATTTTTTGCTTTGCTCTTGTTACACATCAATATTTTTTTCTTAAATATTTTTTAAAAGAAAATAAAATATTTTTAAAAAAATCAGATATTTCTCTACTGATAATGATCAGTAGGAACAAGAGTCTAGACCAGTGATGGCGAACCATTTAGAGACCAATTGTCCAAAAACTGGCCCCGCTCCACCCCCCTGCTCTGCCCCCCCATCCCCCACACTGCCTGCCCACAGGACCAATCACCGCCTCCAGAGCCCAGGCAGCCCAGAGCGTAATGGCGGCCACACCCTCTGCCCACGCCCTGCAGCATCAACTGCATGATCGGGTGTGAGGGCAGAGTCTTATCTATGCTGCCTGGCTGCCATGTCCTTGGCTGCGCTGCTCTGTGTGAGTCACGCTCAAGGGCGACTCTCCTTCAGGGGGGCTGCTGGAGAGGAGGGGATCGCGGGGGGAGGCAAGGCTGGGGCGATGGCACATGTGCCCACAGAGAGGGCTCTGAGTGCTGCCTCTGGCACCCGTGCCATAGGTTCGCCACCACTGGTCTAGATATAACAGTCATTTGGAATGATCTTCCTCTGCTTTCCTTTTTTTTTTCCCCAAGCAACTGGCTTTTAATGTCACATTCCAGATGTCCAAAACCAATATATTTTTTTTCTTGCAGGGTTAAAATTCAGCGGGTTACTTCTACTAGCCTTCTACTACAGCAACTACAGCAGTCGTTTTGCCAATCAGGCCAGCAGCTCATCAGTTTGTCAACTTTTGAGCCTTATAACTCAGCATGTGAGTGCTCTTGGCTGGGCTTTAAGAACAATGATTTCTGAAAGTCTGGAAAGGTTTTAAGACTATTAAAACTGCAAACTCTGATCAGTATAAAACCAAATAATTGAAATATCCTTTTTGCAGACTATGACCATGGAACCAAGAAATGTTTCTGTACAATTTTGTTTCATTTTTAAACTAATTTTTATTTTGGTGGTCAGGGATAACATTTACCTTAACAAAACTAATGACTTAGTCAGTGAGATTGTCTGCTTTCCGCACAGTAATTTTCTCATTTCCTGCATTGCTTTTCTTCTTAAGGTGCCAAATAAAATGCCCCATGATTTGTGCAGTGATTTAGCGTGGCTAACTCCTAAGTTTTTCTTGACTTTAGCTTTGATTCTGAATATAAAGACATTCAAAGCCATAAAATAATCATTAGGCCTGCCCAGGTGTTCTGTATATTAGTAACCAAGAGAGAAAATAAATTCTGGGAGATTTAGAGCATCTTAAGCCATGATTCTTGTTAAGCACACTTTGGAGACTTGTCTGTGTTTCAGGTGGGCATTGTCCTGAAGAGAAAGAGGAGACTGTTATTGGCTGGCAAGAAAAACTCTTCAGTCAAGTAAGTAGATGGGGTGATTTTCCCACTAATGATTCTAGCAGTTTTCACCGCTTCTGGCAGTGCTTAGTCAATTTATTTGTACATAAACCAGATATCAGGCTAAGCAGTGATTGGAATCTAGTTCTCCTTCAACCAAGCATAACGTTCTAGCCTCTTGTCGAGCCTGATCATGTGCTGTTCCTGCAAGTTTCACATGGATATCTCATGGAATGTTTAAAAGCACAAACTTCATTCTAACAGACTTCTAGGTTGAAAAATATGAAGCCATAAGTCATTTGGATTTCAACAGTAGGCCTACATTTTTTTCTCAGTCACTCAGGTAAAGGTGTGCAAAACATTTTGTTTTCAAGCTTTCCCAAGCACCAAACTCCTAAATGAAGAAGAAGACAGGCTTCCTTTGTATACTTTCTCAATCAGGTTTTTAGAGACTAAATGGCTCAGTCTAATAGGTAAAAATATTTCAGACGACTTTCAACCTATTTTGTTGAATTGTAACCTTGGTGGAACACTGTCCAAACTGTGTCCCTTTGCTTCTCCCCCATTCTTCTCCTTCATTGCACCTATTTATATATGAGAAATCCAATTAGATATGAGTCCTACAGACGTTAGTGGCTCTTTTTGTGATTTGCTCATCTATCAAATCCAAGTAATTGTCTGCTTTTTGCTGGGACTTCTGCTTTGCTGATACTGCAGTTCCATGGGTTGAAGGTTTTGTAGGGAGGGCTTTGTTACTGTATACAAGCAACAATGGTTTTCTCTACTCTATTTAGTTTGAGGTCGATCTTTACCAGAATGTGTCTGCCTGCCAGAGCCCACTTGACCGACAATACCACCAGGATATCCTAAAGTTGGAAGAGTTGGGGGGTCGAAAGAATAAGCGGATCTTCACCTACACAGACCATGATCGTTTCACCAACCTAGAAGAGGTGCCAGCTTTTTAATAGAGATGGAAATGGGTTGGAGACTGGATGGCTGACCCAGAGTCTATTTTCTTTATGTCAACATGAATGATAGGAAGAGAGGAATTGTTTCTACCAGAAAATATGTAAAAATATGTTTATAATTCTTAAGTAATAATTATGAATTACAAATATAATTACAAATATAATTTCTGGTTTAGGGAGTAAAGTTCAGACAGATAGTAGCAGATCCCTCCAAAGCTAGACAGGCTTAGATTGTTGTGATGTTTGGTTGGAAGATTACCAGGAAAGTCCAGAGCAGTCAGAGTTAGAAGTTGGAAAAATATATTGAAAGATTGCAATACCAAATCACTTTCATATTACTGCCAAGAAAGCATGTAATCAGCAGGTGTTCAGTTCAGTTCCAGAGCAGTGTTTCTCAACATTGGAAACTTTAAAATGCTTTCCCTTGATGGGCTGTCATTCTGGAGGCTTTACTGTCTGTTTTGTACTGAGCGTACTGCTAAAAATATATTTCCTTGGGTTGAATGCAGCCTCTTAGCTCACATTTTTCCTGTGTAAATGAGAATAACAAGCTCTCTTCTTATATTCCAGCATAGTCAGAAAGTGACCACTTCTGACAAGGAAGTGCCTTCGTATTTGGCAGAAATGATGGCTAATGTGAGGAGGAGAAGACAAGAACGCAGGCCAGTGTGAGTGTAACCCTGGACACTGCTTTTGCTGTACAAATCTCTTGGACTTGAGGGGTGCGGGGATGATTCTGATCCACCCTGGCATTCCTTGGCTTTTCTATATGTTCTATATGCCAAAGCAGAAAGAAACCTCCTTCACTATAGGCAACAATCTCCTTTGTCCCTCTTAGCAGAGAAGGAAACATCCTAAAATCCCGAATTATCACCTGGCAGCCCTCAGAAGAATTCATCAAGAACAACCATGTCATTAATACTCCTGTGCAGACCATGTATATTATGGGGGACCTAGGACCCCAAGACAAGTAAGTTTGTATGTCCATGCACCAAAGCTTTCCGGGCCCCATGGTTTTTTTCTCAGCTCCCCCCAGGTTCCAAGAAGCATTTGAAGTTGAACAAAAGTAATTAGTACTCCTTAATATACAACTGAAGGTGACAGCTGCATGAGAACAGTGTCCCTCATGTTACCATTTCTGGGGAATTAATGGAAATTTGAGTTGAGAGGGTAGCAAAAACCAATGTTGTGCTGAAGAGATCATAGTAATCCCTGTTACATGTTGATCAAGTGATGAAGTAGGAGGTTAATGAGATCCTTTTTTTACTAGGAGTCAGGTATGGGTCAAATTCATGGCAGCCTAGAATGGCATAGATAGAAGCTCTCCAGTGTTTCAAGGCCATCTTCTGTGGCTGAGGGTTCTCCTTCAGTCATCAAAGAGTCCTGGATCTGGGCTTTGCATATCATTGTTCTATATGTTCAGAAACATCTGAATGTGTCTTGTACTGCCAAGAAGCAGGTCATATTTTTTAATGATCTCTCCATAGACTTGGTTGCAAGGAGTATGAGTATGTTCTCTGCATGATCAAGGTGGATGGCAATGGAGTCATCACAGTTAAGCCAGACTTTACAGGCACAAAAGGGCCTTACAGGTGAGCAGCATTTAGAGCCCTTTGATCTTTGAAGATGAATTGAGTCAAGGGGCACTTGCATATCAATTATACAGATGTTTTATCTGAGTTGGGCTATGTTGTTTGGCACTCTGAAGGATTGAACTGGAAGGGGAGAAGCGGGAAATATGGAAATTCACTCTGGAGAATGCCTCTGCTACAGTGGAAGAGAAGGAGGAGGCACGGGAGCAGCGTGTCTTCAAGGATGTAAGAACTCTTATCTAAGTGGGAACTAAGTTTTTAGAAGGGATATATGTGTTATTTTCTGACCAGATATTTCATTCTTTAGTTGTACAGCCGACATAAAGAGTACCTCAATGGACTTGTTGGATCTGACTTTGAGATGGTAAGTGACTTATTTTTGCACCAGATATGTCTGCTTTACCTGGTAGCTGTTAACCCTAATCCTAACTTGTTTAAGATAGAACCTCAGAACCTCAAATCTGGTTCTATTTTTAATGAAGAGTGTAAGGTTGGTAGAATTTGGAATTCTGCTTTGTAATGCATTACCACAACATTCATGATTAGTTATCATTGTTGGAAACAAACATTTTATATGATTTGAGCAAATAATAAAATTCCTGCAATTTGCAGGTTGTCTTATCAGAATTCTAATAGCAGCTTTTTCCTGAGAGGGAAAAATGGTGCTGTGGTTTTCTTCTTAGTCCTTTTCTCACCCTGCAAATTCTCCATACTAGTTATTGTTAAATTAAATGAGAAGTCTATTTTGAAAATTAAATTGTGCCTTGGATGATATAAGAAGGTAGCAGGGTTCGTGCTAGCTTGTCCTTGGATGGAGAACCACACAGAGCCATTGAGAAAGTGAAAACAAAATATTTCGAAAGACAAAGGCAAACCACTTCTATAACATTGTTAAAAATTACATAGATTAGCCATCAGGAGCTAAGCTCAACCAAGGATATTTTATACCTTTGAATCCAAAGCACGCTGACAATTGAATCTCAAGTTCTGAACTGACTTGCCATATATTCTGTCATATATTCATCACATAACCTTTGATATATCTTCTGTTTCATTGATCATCAAAAAAACCTCTCCATCCCTGTGTTCATAAAATCAAGTATTAGAAGAGGTAAAATGAGAACTTCCTTCCACGAAGTGGTTAACTGTTGCTTGTAAACTACTCTTTATGCAACAGAGTTGTCAAGATGTGTATTAAAAGGCACCAGGCTAGAAACCAGGAGACTGTGAGTTCTAGTTTTACCTTAGGCATGAAAGCCAGTTGGGTGACTTTGGACCAGTCAACCAGTCAGGGTTGTTGTTGGGAAAATAGGAGGAGGAAGGTATACCAGCTATGCTCACTGCCTTGAGTTGTTTATAAAAATAATAAAAGTGGGATATAAATAAATAAATATCTCTGACTTGGGGGGTTTGCATCTGATATTCCCCTTCTATTATAAAAATATAATTGCTTTATATCTAAGCAACCCTTTGATCCCCCCAGTCTAGATTTATCAAGTCTGATTAGTCAGCAGCTCTCAGTCAGTGGAAAGCTTTTCATGTAATCTTTTATCTGAAATTCTTCAACTGGCCAGACCAAGTATTTTTTGTAAGTTGCCTAGAGCAGTGGTTCTTAACCTGGGCGATATTGCCCCCCAGGGGGCGGTTTTGTTTTTCAGGGGGGCGATGGAACGAAAAGGGGCGACGCGGGGGCGAAGGAATAAAAAGGGGGCAATATGGGGGCGATGGAGTGAGAAGTTTTGGGGACACTTTTGAGACTTTTTCGTACAGTGAATCACTGTATATCTGTTATACAAAAACATCAAATCGCTTGCTATTAGTGGATTGAATTGTGTTTTCGAATGTTCTTCCAGCTAGCTTCAGTACAGAACGATGTACATATGTATTCACACATCAGTTTCGTTTTAGAATTTTTGTTGTGTTCTGTAAAACATTTTGTGTGTCTCTTTGTATTGTACTTTTTTAGCATGCACTCCAGTTCGATATTATATTTTCTGTGTCTTTTTAATCCTTTTTACAGTGTGCGTGACTATATATACTTTCCTTGAATCTTAATTTAGTTTCAGAGTTTTTGTCTTGAAATTCTTAGTTCCTGCATTGCAGTTTGTTCTTATGCCCTTTTTATATTTCTTTTTGCATCTTAAATTTCACTTGTAATTCAATCATTAAATGTTACTGTTTTTCTTTTCGGGCATTTCACTTTCTTGCAATTGAATTTTGTTTTCAGTGGTCATTACATTTAAGTGTCTTGAATAAATAAGATAATAATGAAATACATGTATCACGAAGTTTGGGAATAAAGTGATGGGTAGCACCAAAATTTTTCACACAGTTGAGATATGGGAAAAAGACTGGAAATAAATTATTTGCATCGATATGTCCTAATGACAATTTTAAAGAAAACAAAAATAGTGTTTGCATAAATTGAAGAATTATTTCCTATGAGAGGTTATGTTGGGGGAGGGGGGGCGATGACAACTTCCTCATTGGCTCAAGGGAGCAATTCGTTCAAAAAGGTTAAAAACCACTGGCCTAGAGTCACTGAAAGTGAGTAGGCGGCCATATAAATTTTTCTTTAAAAAACCCCAACCAACAGAATGTAGACTGCAGTTTTTCTGCTGGGTAATATTCATTCTTTCCTCTTGCAGACTGCCCCTGGTATTTTCCGACTCTTTGTTAATGGTGAAATAGGTAAGATACATTTTTATTCTTGATGGAGTTTTTGTTTCTCCTCCTACATTCAATCCAGGATTGATCCCCAGGATACCAAGGGTCAAACTGTAACTGGAAGCCTGTGCTTGCCCTATGAAACAACATAGAGGAAAAGTACATTGTGATCCTGCTAACTGATTTATACTTCTTGAGGTTCTGTAATTAGTTTTGATGTTTCCCTAATATTGATTTAGGCACCTTTTTGCTGTTAGGAAAAATGACTAATTTTTCAGTTTGTAAGCAATCTAAAGCTGTGATTGTAACTAAAATATCCTATAGGTTTGATTAGCCAACTCACTCAGGTTTTGTTTTAATATCAGAGTCTCTTTAGCAAGGCACCTTCATAGGATTGGGCAGAGAAAAGATCCAAAGAATAAGGCTTTATTACTGTGTTTCCTTTTCTTTCCCAGTTTCAGCCCAGGGTTATGAATACAGCAATCTGTACATACATTTCTTCTTGGAACTGCCCAGCTGTGAGTAGTATAAATTAGACCCTTAGGATTGGGAGCAAGATATGATATGGCATCTACCACATACAGTTTTGTAGAAATGTGTATTCTCTTTGAGAGTTGTTTCTAAGAAATAATTGAAACAGTACAGAGATTCATAAATCTTCACACAGCAAATCAAACATGTCCTTGAACCTACTGTCTTATTAGTTGAGGCCATATTTCCCCGCAAACTCCCTAAAATCCAGTCTTAAGATACTGATGGACAATGGATCACTAGATCCAGTCGCATGATGAGAGCCAGAAAAAAATCCTTGTGTCACCCTTCTCCACCTCACCACTTATATTCAACTGCAGCGCACATGCGCGCGCGCACACACACACACACACACACACACATGATTTCATTTGGGAGCTAGGCTACTGGCTCACATTTATGTCTGTTTTCAGCATGACCATGATTTTTAGCATTTTTGCTATATTCTGTTTACTTTCTCTTTTTTTTGGCAAAAAATGCCAGCTGGAGAAATGAATTCATTTAATGACTGTTGTATTTGCTTAACAATTGTGGCATTTGCTTAATGACCACCGCAAATAAGGTCATAAAATAAGGCCTGGTCATATGGTGACCAGCTTAGCAACCACCATGACATAAGACTGTAATTCCAGGCTTAATTAAAGTCATTAGTCAGGAACTAACTGGTATGCAATGAAAGGATGTTTGGTTTTGGAGCAGAGGTTTCGTTCTTTATCTGCTAATTAATTTTGCTATCTTTTCTGCAGTGTTAAAAGCTTCTATTTTCTTTCTAGGCTGGTCATGTCCCCCATCTCAATTACTCTCTGGAGTGACACAGACTTGCACTAGCAAAGTACATGGCAAAGTATGTTTAAGGTGGTTCGTTTGTGAGGGAGGGGGACTATTTGCAGTGTCACAGTTTAATGCTAGTTTTGGGGTACATTTTTCTTCCATACTTTGAGGAATAGCAGCCTTACATGACTCTGGAATGCAATTCTTGCTATAGATTTTAGTTTTCTGATACTCCTAATATTTCAAAGCTGCATTCTAGTAGAGCCTTCTTCAGCTTATCCCTTTAACTCTTAAATGTATTGTACTGCCAATTATTGAGATTTCTTAATGATTTACATTACATTTTGTTGAACCTCAGTTGGCCCACAAATTCTCAGTTTAGATTGGAATGCCCGGGGGATAAGAATTATGAGATTTTTAATCTAGGATGGCCACCAGAATCACAATTGCAAGATGGGCAACTATACAGAATGATATAATTTTAAAAAGGATAAAAATTAAATCTGGAGAACATCAGATTGGAGAAGATCTTGAGCATATAGACCAGCGGTTCTCAACCTATGGGTCGCGACCCCATTTGGGGTCGACCGGCCATTTTTCAGGGGTCGCCAAAGGCGGCGATCTGCCATTTTTCGCGGCACCGTGCACGCGCGCCGCGCATGGGGGCGGTGCCGCGCATGGGGGGGCGTGCATGCGCGCCACGCATGGGGGCGCCCATGCATGCACATTGCGCATGGGGCGGCGGCACCGTGCATGTGCGCCGCGCACGGCATCACGCACGTGTGTCACGCATGGGGTGCCGCCGCGCATGCGCACTGCGCATGGGGCCCCCGCCCCCATGCGCGCGGCGCCGCGCATGCGCAGAACGTTTGTGTGACGGGGGTCGCCGTCACTGATATAGACAAACATTTTTGGGGAAAAAATCTCCTTTGCTTTAGAGCAGTGTTTCTCGACAATTTTAAGGCATGTGGACTTCAACTCCCAGAATTCCACAGCCAGCAACGCTGGCTGTGGAATTCTGGGAGTTGAAGTCCACATGCCTTAAAATTGTCAAGGTTGAGAAACACTGCTTTAGAGTCTATATGAATTCTTCATTGTTGGTACAAAACCAGTAGAGTGATTCTATTGGTTTAAAGCCTGGATTAAGACTTCTCTATTGTCAGGGAATGTATGCCTCTGTTATCTGGGGGCGGTTGCCTAGCTGTTGCAATTATACCTCTGAAAATCCTACGTTTACCCATCAACCCCTTCTCAGCATGATCATGCAGCAATGCCTAGGCGCAATTGGGGGCAACTCTAAATCAAGCTTAAAGCATATCCATCTTTGCCAGTTATATCAGTTTTCTGTCTCCCATCATCCACACCCAGAGTTGTTCTGTTTCCTGCTGCCCCGTGTAGGAGCTGATGCTACTATTTTTCATTCCCAGGACAGGGTGGCTTTTTTTTCCTTCCCATTTACCCTGGAGATGTTCTTTGCCCACAAGGACGACTTAGAAGGTGAGTCATGCCATTGAAAGTCAGACTTGTGTGTCAGAAAGAAGTTCAGAAATGGTTCTACTCTAATGGATATAAGCTGTTTGTCTCCATCTTTGAGAATTGATTGGACTGTCACATGAGAGATAGAGGGATTTTATTTATTTATGGAGTGTAATTCTTTGGGACATTCTCTAGCTTATGAATGCACAATTTTTTCTAGACTGAAGTTGATACCCCTAAAATTGTTAGAGACAAACACAAAATTCTAGTTAAATTATTACAATTTAATTATTACAATTTAATTACCACTAAATGTAATCAATGTGATCATTCTCCACTTATATATTCACTCACCTTCTCCAATATTAAAAATTACAAATTGCTTACAACTTTTGGAGATTTCTCAGAACTGAAGCCTTGAAGCCTCCAATTGTACACTTCTGCTCTAGAAAAAAACTGTACAGTAATGGGTGGGATCTGCAGAAGAGCAGGATGTGTTGCATAGCTTGTACTCATTTCAACGAACACTTGCAACTATGTCAGAGGATTGTTCCTCTGAGCAATGGTTTATTCTGATTCTAGTGGAAAGTTGCATTTCAACATCCCTCCATCAGCAGAATTGCCCTACTGTTTCTGCTGGAATAAAACTTGACATTAATGTGAGACTGGCTGGTGTTTTACTCACTGTCTTCCTTCCTCTAATAGGCCCCCTCCCTGAGTGGCCTGTCCTATACTTTGAGGTTCTTTCCTTGGATTTCTGGCATAGGTACCGTATTGAAGGCTATGGGTTTGTAGTGCTGCCAGCAACGCCAGGTAAAAGACAGTGGTAGAACTGAACTCTGCAATGGTGCAACTTATAAGGCAAATTTGTTTATTAATTTCTTTATTTATTTGATTTACTGTATATAGCCACTTTTATGTGACTCTGAGTGACTTACATAAAACAAAAATCAAAATACATTTTTTTTTTTACTTGCTTCTAGTAGTGTATATTCATCTTGTTTTAGTACTAGATGCTCTTCTGAAAACTGTAGTTGAAAAAACTCTTCTTTCTTATTTTCTTTAACTGCTGGAATTCTGGAAAGTCTTTTTAAAATGGCATCTCTTAGCATTTAAGATGGCATGCTTACAAATGCTTACAGTTACTCTATGCCTAAGATGTCATAAAAGCCAGTAAATATATAAATAAAACTTCATGTGTGAATGGATTATTATAATATCTTTTACAAGCCATGAAAATCCAGCTTCTCTCTATTGTAGAGTATCTCTAAATTTTCCTTGGCTTGTAGTAAACAGTTTCCAGGTCTTGTATTTCACTGGAACTTTTATATTGTGATCTCAATGGCTAACATACTGGTAGTGGACATGCATGTTCTGAGTAGCTTTTGATTTTTTTTTCCCCCATATCTCTGGCATCAATCCTGTTCAACCTGATGATTCAGGGGTTCACACTTTGTCTGTTTCTACATGGCGTCCTGTGGAGTTGGGCACCATTTCAGAACTACGGAGGTTTTTCATTGGGGGATCTCCAGAGCTTGAGGATATAACCTACACCAAAGTGCCAAGTACTTTCACAGTGAGTGCCGGCCTCCCCATGCCCACCCATCATCTGCAAAGCATTTTTGGTTCAGAGTTTGGCAGATTTCTTGAGACAGAAGGATGAAAACTCAGCCAGGACTACCCCTAATCTGATGCTTATCTTCTGTGCAGGGTGATCGTCTCAGCCGTTTTGGTTTTCGTTCTCAAACAACAGGGAGTGTCACTTTTCGGCTGAACTGCCTGCAGCAGTCCAAGTAAGATTTTTCTCTCCACTAGAGAGAGAGAATTTCTGAAAATTCTGAACATGCACAGGGAAGAGAATCTCTTTCCCTCTGTATTTAAAGAGATTTCAGCAAAAAGCAGCTTCTGTTATCAGCTTGGTTATCTGCCTTTGGATTCAAATGCCTAATTTCAATGTTCATTGATATAGATGCAGATATAAGGAAGCACATGCAAGTAGTCCTTGCTTACTGATCACTTATTTAAAATTGCGACAGCACTGAGCAATAGTACTTATGATTGGTCCTCAAAGTTCTATCTATTGCAGTGCTCCTGTGATCATGTGATCACAATTCAGGAGCTTGGCAACCAGCTCACACTTAAAACAGCTCCTGCAATCATGTGTTCACTAACTGCAACCTTCCCTGCCAGATTCCTGCAAACAAAGTCTTTGGGGAAACTGGTAGAAAAGGTTGTAAGTCACTTGAGTAAGCCCACCCCCACCCCATTTTCCTGCACAACAAGCCATGCCCCCCCTTTCCTCAGAGTGAGAACTTTAACCTGATAGCTGCTATTGGATTCATTTCAAGGAATCAGCAATGGTAGCTGCTGAATTTCCTGATTCTTCCTCATTTTCCCTCAAATATTACAGAAGGAACGTGCTAAAAGAAGATGAGTCCTGAACACCTAATTATAAATGCATTTTTAGAATTGCAACTAACTGTTGTGAAAACATTAGCACTGTCCTTTAAGACCAAGAATTTAATGTGTAGCCCTTTTTCAACAAAGAAGACCGTCGAAAATCAGAATATCATTTGATGGGGATAAAGCAAATATCTTTTTATCATTTGAGAAAAAGCAACTTCCTCTTCCAGGAATGCCTACAACATATAATAGCATATTGTTGCTAGTTTTAAAACTTGCTTTTCTTGGCAGAGCTTTTCTGGAGTCCAGCTCCATGAAGAAACGCATGCAGAGTGTTCTGGATCGACTAGGAAACGTCAGTCAGCAAAGTTCCGTTTATAATGTCTTAGGTAAGGCTTTTGACACAAAAACAGGTAGGATTTTTTTTGCAGAAAATAGAACTATTTGGATCTTGGGCATTACAATTTCCCTATCAGGAAAGGTTGTAATATTTGAGCTTTTTTAGTCTAGAAAGAAGGCAAACGAGAGCGGATATGACTGAGATGTACATGGTGGTATGGTGCTGTTAAAGTGGACAAGAAACTATTTTCCCCTTCCCAAAATACTAGAATCAAATTAAATTGAATTCTGGAAGAATCAGGAAAGACAAAAGGAAATATTAATGCATAATTAAATTTTGGAATTTGCTACTATGAGATATGGTGTTGGCTACCAACTAAGGTGACTTCAGAAACGGGTTGGATCAATTGATGGAAGTCCAGGGGCTAATGATTATTAGCCTTGATGACAGTATAACTGCTTTAAAGGCCATCTGCTGGGAAACTAGTGGGCTTCCTTGTATCCTGAATTGGCCATTGTGATAATAGATTGATGGATTAGGGGTCCAATCCAGCAGGGCATTTTGTTCTTGGGATTCTCAATGGCCATTTTAGGCATTTTAATTCTAAATTGTTTCCTCATTTAGTTCAATATATGGTAGTGGTTTCTTTAAAAAGCCCAAATTAGAAGGTGTTTATTTATTTTTTATTAAAGATGAACATATCTTCTAATTAAATATTATTTTAAATTATCTTGAACATCAGGATCATTTAAAGAGGATAGTATTTTTTATCTATTTAATGAAAAACATGTGGTATTCTGTTTGTTATTTGAAAAACTCAAATTTGCCAGAAGAGTAATATTCTATAGTCTTTTTTTAAAAAATTAAAATAACTTTGTAGCTCCTGGGCTCCTAGGCCTTTAAAAAAATATAGAATAAAATACGTTATTCTGGATGTTGTGTCAGAACAAGAGAATAAGGGAAATTCAAAATCCTTGTTTTGCTTTTGCACAATACATTTTCTCTCTCCCACAGAGCTAGTAGAGGTTAGACATACTTTCTAGCCTGCATAATGTATTTAACTCATCACATGCTTTCAATATTTCAGCATGGGATTTCGGTTAAAACAGGGGTATCAAACTGCTGGCCCACGGGCCAGATGCGTCACGCCAAAACTGCGCCCACTCCATTGCCGGCAATGGAAAAAAAGTCGCGATATGTCGTGACACGTCAGGTGACATTGCGAGTTTGACACCCGTCGTCTGGAGGGATGGAATGGGCAGGCAGGGGAACTAGTTGACTGCGCAGGTTAAACCACCACCTAACTACCACATTTGTTCTCTTTGTCGCAGAGGCTTTTCAACGGGCTCGTCAACGGATGCAGGACGCCCGGGAAAGCCTTCCTCAAGATTTGATTCGCACTTCAGCCTCTGAAGCTCATCATGATGAAAGCATCATCAAGCAGCCTGCTGTCTTCTAAGATGTTCTCCACCAGTGTTTCTCAATCCCAGCCACTTGAAGACATGTGGACTTCAACTCTCAGAATTCCCCAGCCAGGTCTATGTCTTGGGTTCTCACCTCTGCTTCTGCATTTTATGAGAAACTCCTGAACCTCAGTTTGAATCTGGAGGTGGGCCATGTGGTGCCGGACATAGGAGCTTGGACTGCTGTTTTTTCAAAGGATATGACAGAAATCTCATTTTTTCTCCCTTTCATCACACAAGATCATGAGATTACAAAAACATTCTATGCTTTAGGAAGGCAATCATGTTGTACGGTATTTTATTTTGTGTGCATGAATTCGGGTATATTTATATATACATAGGGATATATATATATACACACATACACATATATTCATACATATACGCATACGGTATCTGTACTCAGGGGACAAGAGACAATTAAAACAATGATATTTCAATATTACTAATTGTAAAGAGCTTTATTTCTTTAAAAATAAGTACTTAAATTAAAACACAGTAAGTTGTCCCACGAAACTTTTTATTTCCAGTAAGCTAGAGCAAGGCTTTTCAACCAGTGATATGGGTACCACCTGTGGTACATTGGCACCTGGCAGGTGGTATGCGACTATCCTAGAAAAGTGGTAGCGGGGGAGGGGAATGAGTTGAACCGGTGGCATTACCGCACAAGCCTGAGCGAGAGATGGCTGGAGCTGCAGGGCTGTCAGGGCTCAGAGGAAGTGCCAGGATCAGCGCCAGGCTCCAACTGGAGCTCAGCGCTGATCCTGACGCTTCTGCTGAGCCCAGAAGCGCCGATCAGCTGGAAAGCACCACTGATCCTGGTGCTTCTGCTAAGCCCAGAAGAAGCGCCGATCAGCTGGAATGTTGCAGCATCTCCAGGGTCTTGTGATTTACATTCAGATGCTTGGCAACTGATTCATATTTATGATGGTCACAGTGTCCCAGAGTCATGTGAAGTGACCAAAACCTGCTGCAACCACCCAGCAGACGGGGGGGGGGATAAAAACCAAACACCCCCCCCCACCCCACCCCCGCTGCCAATCCTCAACAGAAATGCTCACAACAATGAAAACCTCAGACAGGAGGAAGAGCGCTGCCGGATGGATAGGCAGGTGTCTTGCTTGGCTGTGGCTTGGGGGGCAGTTTTTTCAGTGCCATTGTAACTTCGAACAGTCACTAAGTGAACTGTTGTAAGTTGAGGACCACCTATACTTCATCACTTTTTTCCTTTTGGGGGGGGTCATCAAGTTTTTGACACCTTGCTAGGTGACGTGATACTCGGATATTGCCATATCCTAAAAGTGGTACAATGGGTGAAAAGGTTGAAAAGTCCTGAGCTAGAGAGCAAAGTTGCTACTGCTATATTGCATCTTTGTCTCCACCTTTATCCAAAACTTCTGCGCAAAACTAGTATTGACTTGATTTCAAGCAAAGGGTGCAAAATAGTTGGGAAGCTGTGGGCTCAGTTTCAAGTGGTGCTGCCACCTGTGAATCTCCTAATGAATCATGCAGGGATTGGGACTAAAATTCCTACCAGCTTCCCCTAGGATTCTTGTAGGAAGAAAATTGATTCCAAGTTGTTTTTCGTGATTTGCTGCTAATCCCTTTATTATTTGGACTCCCATCCCTTTTTTTCATTCAATTTTTTAATTAGTTTATCAAAATATAAAATACAGAAATACAAAGAAAAATGAAAATAATGGGAAAATAGGGGAGAGAAAAGGAAAGAGAAGAAAGTGTAAGGTAAAGGGGAAAAGAAAAAGAAAAAACATTGACTTAAGACTCTTTTTGGCACAATACAATAAGGTAACAACATGCAACCTCAACTTTTTAAATAATAGTGTATACATTTCCATAACAACAAACCTATATGATCAACAAAGCCCAAAATCGAAGTTTCATTTTTTTTCTACCGGACACAAAGTCCAAAAGCGGTTTCCAAGTAGAAACAAAGTTAATTGTATTCTTTCCTCTAATTAAAGTAGTCAATTTAGCTATCTCAGCTAATGCCATGAATTTTTGTAGCCATTTGTCCAAGGTGGGAATCAAAGTATCCTTCCATTTTTATGCATAAGGTATTCTTGTCAGCATATATAACATCAAGTTCCCTTTTTTTCAAGTTGTTTATCCGTTAAGCCCAAAAGAAAACTCTCTGGTTTTATTTTTACATTCACTTTAAGAATCTATATTAAGATATGAATCTTGCTCCAATATTTCTTTGCTGGACTCTCTTGCTTGACTTAGTTCATATGAATGAGCCAAGGGCTCCCCGGGTTTTCAGTGATGTCACAGAGCTCTGTGAAGGTTGCTGTTCCATTAACCAAGGTCAACTGGAACTTGTCTCTGGGACACACTGTTCCTGGCCCATCTCAGTCATCAGCTGCTCTTTAGGACTTTGGGAATGATCAAGGCAAGATCTGAACATTCAACCCAGAACAAAGTGAGCTGGATGGGGGACCCCTGCAAGAACCTTATCAGGTGGGTGGGAGGTCTATGCTATTTTTCTGCCGGGTCATCTGCCATTTCTGAAAGTTAATTCTTTGAGATATGGCAGCCTATTCAGACTACTGCTTGGCTTACTTTATATATCACGATCAAGGCTAATTCCAAGTTGTCAAAATGCAACAGCATGCGCAATTCTATACCCAACAAAGAAGCCATTATTGTTTGTTATGATGGTCTGGTTCACATGTGTTAAGACAATGACAGGGATGTCATAAACACTTGTCCTATTCTACAAGAGAAAGATAATTTCATCACCATAAGACTGGGAAGTGAGATGGGGAGGATAAATGCAAACCACAATCACTGCTTTTTTCACCATTGACAGAAAACACGAAACAGAAGCAGTATGAGCATATGGCTGATGAGGGAGCACCATCAAATGGAGGTAAGACATTTACATGTTCAGAACAATGTAAATAAATGCAATAAATACTAAATATTGCAGCAGGACATCAAATGTAAAGGATCTTTCCTGCCCCTATTTGCTTTTGCCCTTTTTCTACACAAATGGGCATACTTATGCTGCAGCTGTCTGCCTTTTCTATTTTCTAACATTTGTGAACCAAATCTGTGGTCTAGAAGCATTTTGGAATATTTTGGATTTTTATTTTTTATTTTTTTGCATACCAATTTCCTGTGTGTGCATGTATGCACGCGTGAGTCAGTGTTGATTCCTAGTGACTGCCTAAATTAGTTCCTGCAGTTTTCTTGGCAAGATTTCAGAAGTGGTTTGCCATTACGTGCTACTTAATGACCGGCCCAAAGTCATCCAATTGGGTTGGTACTTAAGGAAAAACTAGAACTCATAGTCTCCCAGTTTCTAACCTAGTTCCTTAACCACTACTCATAACTGACTCTTCCTTTTATTTTCAATTTTCAATTCAATTTTTAATTAAATGTCAATCAGAATAGAGCTGGAAGGGACCTTGGAGGTCTTCTAATCCAACCCCCTGTTCAAGCAGGAGACCCTATACCACTTCAGATAGGTGGCTGTCCAGTCTCTTCTTAAAAACCTCCAGTGATGAAGCACCCACAACTTCTGAAGGCAAGCTGTTCCACTGGTTAATTATTCTCATTGTTAGGAAGTTTCTCCTTAATTCCAGGTTGCTTCTCTTCTTGATTAGTTTCCATCCATTGTTTCTTGTCTTGCCTTCTGGTGCTTTGGAAAATAAGTTGACCCCTTCCTCTTTGTGGCAGCCCCTCAAATACTGGAACACTGCTATCATGTCTCCTCAGTCCTTCTTTTCTCTGGACTAGCCATACCCAATTCCTGCAACCGTTTTTCATATGTTTTTGTCTCCAGCCCTTAATCATCTTAGTTTACTTTTTAATTAAAATACATATTTAAAAATTCAAAGAAGTCCAGTTGCATCCAGCACTTCCCCCATGAAACCAAGGGCATGTTTATTGTTTTACCTACTTAATTTTGGGACTTTTGCCCAGGACATCTCTGCTCCATCCGTCAATTGCTGCAATTCCCAGAAGAAAGAAACCAGAAGGAACTAGTATTTCATATTATACATGCAGCTCGTAGCCAGCCAGCCGTTGTGATGCCAGCACTCATGACTATCCTTCAGCAGGACAAGGTATGGAAAATTGCTCTTTGCAACTCTGGATTATGTTCAGTGAAGCCAGGGCTCCACCAAGGCCTATAACTTTCTGCAGCCTAGTCTATTCAGAAACAGCACGGCAGGGTCAGTAGAAAAGCATCTTTCCCCATTCTGACCCCCGTTTTTATCACAGAGATGCCAGCTTCTGAACCTGTAATTTGCTATGTTCTGACCATTTGTTCTGACAGTGAAACATGGCTTCGTCCCATATCAATGCAGAAACGATCTCTCTCCCACCTGCAGGGCTCTATCTGGGAGAAGGTGGCCATCTACCGCAGCCTTCGGGCTATGCTGGAGCGAGGCCTGGAGGTGGAGCCTGCCTGCAGCTTTGTTTTTACAGCCTTGAAGCAACTGAGAGCATCTCTGTTGGTAAGCAAGAACAATTCTAGCTAAAAGTTCTTCTCCGCCCCACCCCACAGAACTTAATATTTACTTTGTTGGGCTATTACATTTGGCAACAATAGTAAAGTGTACAATGGGCCAGAAAAGACACAGTTGTAATTGATTGGTTGGAGAGTGCTGGCTCCTGCATGAGGCAATCTACACTATGATTGGTTGCTGTGGGTGTAAAGGGGGAGTTTTCCTCCCCCCCCACCACCATTTTCTTTTGTGTGCTCTGTATCCTGTTTGATTTACCTCATGATGTTTCTGTGTTCCTGACAATCTTGTCTGCTGTAAATATAAATGTTAAATATATTTATTTATATAAAACTACATGTTTATGTCAGTGTCTCTGACTTCATTTGGAAAGTTGCTGCGCAATTCTTTGACATACTTTAATTTCCAACCATATTAGCAGTGTGTAGCAATCATTCAGAGCAAAGAGGTAAAAACATTGTTCAGATGGTCCAGAACGTCTGCTAAATAATTATATTTGTGTTCTTGGATTCAAACATGACTGAATTAAGCTGCCTTTCTACAGTTTATCCTGCACTGTGAAGACTTTTTACAGGTGATGATAAATTTGCTCCCTTTCCTGAATATGTGGATGCTGGCAGAAGCTATTTGTTTAGTAAGAGTGTTTAGTTCTTAAGTTTTGGATAAAATCAAGAGCCATCTATATATCTGCTCATTTCCCTTTGGCTGTTCATTTGCTGCCATCCCAGCAAGCGTCTGAAACTAGGAGTCAGGAGGCCTTGTTTCAAATTCATCCTGAGCCATGAAAATTTGGAGCTAATCACCTTTCTTCAGCCCAGCCTATTTAACAAATTTGTTGTGGAGATGAAATGAAGTGAGATCTTCAGTGTAAGCTACTTTAAATAAGCTGCATTGTTTTAATACATAATGTAATTTTTTATTCTTTTTTCGACAGGAGGTGCCTCGAGAGCTGCAGATGGCTGTCAGCAATGCACTGGCTAGTTTTGCTCGTCAACATTTCAATGTCATCATGAACGAGCTTCAGCGGCACCTCAGGCCTTTTGTCCAGCCTGATGAGTTCACTCTTCTCACTTTGGGCAAGATCACAGCCATGAATGGTAGGTTGTAACTTGAAGTGAGTGAGAATGACTGTCCTCAGTCCAAACACATCAGGACCCACAGGATGTCCAGTTCTTGTCTTAGAGGGACATAATTTAGACTTTTAAAAATTGTATTGAAGGGATTTTATTGTGCTTATGATTTTATTATGCACAATAAAATCTCTTCAGTACTTTGCTCTTGATACGGAAATAGTCTGTAATGTAGAAGTCAAAAGTAGCTCATGACTGTTCCCAAAGAGCTACTCAACATTCTTTGTTTCTTGATTAATTCCCATTTCAGAGTTGCAGATTTCCAAGATGAGCAGAGCAACACGTCTCTTTTGACAAGCTCTCTCTCTCCCTCTCTTCCTTTCTCTCTTTTCCTCCCCTTAGTGTACAACTGTGTCCCCTTCTTTGGCATCACCCTAACCACCATGCAGACAGTCACACGTAGAATTGAGGATACCAGAAGACGCTGGGCCCTCTGCACAGGTGAAGCTTCCAGAGCTGATTCATATTTCCCCATCACAAACCTACAAACACTTTGACTGGCAGTTCTGGGAATCACACGAAGACAGAGACCCCCTCACTGCAAGGTTTAAACTAATCAAGTCAAGCACTTTGAATTTTAATTGATCTGTTTAAGTGTATTGTGTGAATGAAGCCTCTAAGAAATGAAAAACAGAAAATATGAATTGAATGATTGACAAATAACAATTTGTTCATAAAATATGCTAAGCCAAATTCAAACAAACCAGTTATGGCTAAGGAGAAATGGACCCAAATCGGATCCTGCAAGCAGAAGTGTCTTTGCTGCTTTCAGAACTGGACTAGCAATAGTTCTGAAGACTTTGAAAGAGAAGTTAGTTGAGCTTCCCCATAGGTCACACTGAGTAGCGCTCTAGCAGAAGCAGAATAGTTATCTTCCACCAAAATCCTCACCTTTCTCTGTTTCCCCTACATACAAGCCCTGAAACAGATATGCAAAGCAATTCAAATCTATCTTCGGACCTGGGAAAGGAGTTCCTATCCCCGTATCAGTGTCCAGCAGTTCGCCATCTACCTTCTTCCACTTTATGCATGTATCACTCGGACCTGGTTACCTGGAAGTCACTCCAAGGTAAGTTGTCAACTCAGATAAGGTCATGACCCTGTCCCAGAACTGCTTTCAATTCTATATAGCAAGGCAAGGTGGCAAAGCTCTCTGAATGGTATTCATGTCAAAGGGACATATTAATCAGAATAGAGCTGGAAGGGACCTTGGAGGTCTTCTAAGTCCAACCCCTTACCCAAACAGGAGACCCTATACCATTTCAGACAAGTGACTGTTCAGTCTCTTTTTAAAAACGTCCAGTGATGAAGCACGCACAACTTCTAAAGGCAAGCTCTTCCACTGGTTAATTGTCCTCACTGTTAGGAATAATAATAATAATAATAATAATAATAATAATAATAACAACAACAACAATAACAACAATAACAACAATAATAATAGTAATAATAAAGTTGGAAGGGACCTTGGAGGTCATCGAGTCCAACCCCCTGCTCAGGCAGGAAACCCTACACCCTTTCGGACAAATGGCTGTCCAGTCTCTTCTTAAAAACTTCCAGTGTTGGAGAATTCACTGCTTCTGGAGGCAGGTTGTTCCACTGATTAATTGTTCTCACTGTCAGGAAGTTTCTCCTTAGTTCTAGGTTGCTTCTCTCCTTGATTAGTTTCCACCGTTGCTTCTTGTCCTGCCTTCAGGCGCTTTGGAGAATAGCTTGACTCCCTCTTCTTTGTGGCAGCCCCTGAGATATTGGAACACTGCTATCATGTCCCCCTCATCCTTCTCTTCGTTAAACTAGACATACCCAATTCCAGCAACTGTTCCTTATATGTTTTAGCCTCCAGTCCCTAATCATCTTTGTTGCTCTTCTCTGTACTCTTTCTAGAGTCTCAGCATCTTTTTTACATCGTGGTGACCAAAACTGGATGCAGTATTCCAAGTGTGGCCTTACCAAGGCATTGTAAAGTGGTATTAATACTTCACGTGATCTTGATTCTATCCCTCTGTTAAGGCAGCCCAGCACTGAGTTGGTTTTTTTGGCAGCTGCAGCACACTGCTGGCTCATATTTAAATGATTGTCCACTAGGACTCCGAGATCCCTTTCACAGTTACTATTATTGAGCCAGGTACCCCCTATACTATACCTGTACATTTGGTTTTTCTTGCCTAAATGTAGAACCTTACTTTTTTCACCATTGAATTTCATTTTGTTAGATAGCACCCAGTGTTCAAGTCTGTCCAGGTCCTCCTGTATCTTAAGCCTATCTTCTGGAGTGTTGGCTATTCCTGCCAGCTTGGTGTCATCCACAGATTTGATGAGTTCCCCATCTATTCCCTCGTCCAAATCGTTGATGAAGATGTTGAAGAGCACTGGGCCTAGAACAGAACCCTGGGGCACTCCACTACACATTTCCCTCCATGTACATGCAGTTCCATTGAGGACCACACGCTGAGTACGGCCAGTCAGCCAGCTACGGATCTATCTGGTGGTGATGCTGTCTAACCCACATTTTTCTATCTTATCGAGTAGTAGGTTGTGATCTACTTTATCAAATGCCTTACTGAAGTCCAAATAAATTATATCCACAGCATTCCTCTGATCACTAATTTTGTCACTTCGTCAAAGAATGCAATAAGGTTTGTCTGGCATGATTGTTTTTGACAAACCCATGTTGGCTTTTAGTAGTGATTTTGTTTGCCTCTAGGTGTTCGCTGATTTGTTGTTTGATTATCTTTTTCAGAATCTTCCCAGGTATTGAGGTCAGGCTGATAGGTCTGTAATTTCCTGGATCCATTTTTTTCCTTTTTTGAAGATGGGAACTACCTCAGCTCTTTTCCAATCCTCTGGTAGTTCCCCAGTGCTCCAAGATCTTTGAAAAATATAGTTCAGTGGTTCTGAGATCACATCTGCCAGTTCCTTGAGAACCTTGGGGTGTAATCCATCTGGTCCTGGTGATTTGAATTTGTCTAGGCTGGACAGGTGCTCACTTATCATTTTCTTGCCTATCTTAACTTGCGTTTCTATTCTGTTTTTTATGGCACTGTTTTTGATAGGTTGGTCTGTTTTTTCCCTTTGTATAAAGACAGATGCAAAAAACGAGTTAAATAGTTCTGCTTTCTCCCTATTGCTTGTCACCTTCTTGCCACTTTCGCCCACTAATGGACCAGTCATTTCCTTCACTTTTTTCTTGTTTTTTACATGTTGAAAGAAGCTTTTTTTTTGTTATTTTTGACTTTGGTCGCAAGCCTTAGTTCATTATGAGCCTTAGCTTTCCTCACTTCACCTTTGCAGGCTCGGGCTATTTGTTGATATTCTGATTTAGTTATGTGCTCCTCTTTCCACTTTCTATACTTGTCCTTTTTATCTTTCAATTAGGAAAATTGAGGAAGTTTCTCCTCAGTTCCAGGTTACTTGTCTCCTTGATTAGTTTCCATCTATTGTTTCTTGTTCTGCCCTCTGGTACTTTGGAAAATAAGTTGACCCCTCTTCTTTGTGGCAACCTCTCAAATACTGGAATACTGCTATCATGTCACCCCCTAGTCCTTCTTTTCTCTAGACTAGCCAAACCCAAATCCTGTAGCCGTTCTTCATATGTTTTAGTCTCCAGACCTTTAATCATCTTATTTGCTCTTCTTTGCACTTTTTCCAAAGTTTCAACATCTTTTTTGTAATGTGGTGACCAAATCTGGACACAGTATTCCAGGTTTGACCTTACTAAGGCTTTATAAAGTAGTACTATTACTTCACATGATTTTGATTCTATGCCTCTTTTTATGCAACCAAGGATTGTATTAGCCTTTTTGGCTGCTGCTGCACACTCTGGATCATATTTAATTTTACTTGAAGAAAAATTGTGTGTGTGTGTGGGGGGGGGAATTAACAATCACCATTAACCATTCCTATCCTATCCATCCTGGCAGGTCAGACTAGCAGTTCTGAAGGCCTTAAGCCCCATGCTGAGCATCCTGCTTCCCAGGACAGAATTCCAGACTCAGATCTATGATGACATCATTTTGCTCTCATTGCAGTATGACAGCAGCAGCACTGAAGCTTTTTATATCTCTAAGGTAAGGAGATTTGAGACTCCCATTGCCTGCCATACAGATGACAGTCATTCCTTGAAGGAGTCAGCAAGCTAAGATGCTAAATTGGCTGTCACTTGCCCATTCCTTTCTTCATCCTAATTTCTTTGGAGTACAAGAAAAAAAGAAAAGAAAGTATATATTAGTTTGATATTTATTATAGATCCTGGGCCAGATTCTGGAAACTTCTCTAGTGAACAAAAATCCAATCCCAAATATGTATGTGGGGCCCCTTGCACAGAATCTCATCCTGCAGGTAAGAATAACAAATTACAGATTGTAATTTTGTAGATGGGTGACATTTTTCTTGTTACAGCCATGCACACCATTTATTTATTTACCAGTGAAATTTCAGGAGTGTTCACATTAATTCAAGGTTTCATTTCTTTGGAAAAATGTTAGACTTAGAACAGTTCTGCAATGTAAAGAATATTCATAAAGAAAGGTTGATATTAAACTAGGCAATAAGAATGTTCCATTCCAACTGATTTCTATTCCCTGCCCAATTCCATTGATTTTTCTCACAAGCAGTGTGGGTGGACAGCTACTACAATATTTGTTGCCCCGAACAAATTGATAGAGAAGCCAAATATACACACACAAGTGCAGGCACACATATACACACACATTTACATTTTATCATTTATATAGCTACCATCTCATCAAATGTGACCCTAGGCATGTACACAATCAAACAAAACAATAATATACAGATAGTCCTTGACTTATAACCACAAAAGTCCAAAATTTCTATTGCTAAGCAAGACAGTTGTTAAGTGAGTTTTGTCCCATTTTATGACCTTTCTTGCCACAATTGTTAAGTGAATCATTGCAGTTGTTAACTTAGTAACACTTAAATGAACCCAGCTTCCCCGTTTACTTTGCTTGGCAGAAGGTTACAAAAGATGATCACATGACCCCAGGACACTGCGACCGTCATAAAAACATACCAATTGCCAAATGTCCGAATTTTGATCACATGACCATAGGGATGCATGGTCATAAGTTTGAAAAACGGTCATAAGTCACTTTTTTCAATGCCATTGTAACTTCAAATGATCACTAAACAAATGGTTGTAAGTCGAGGAATACCTGTAAAAGCAGTCATAGTAAAAACAGTCAATATTAAAATATGAATAATCATTTCTTAAAATTAAATATTAAAAATAAAGAATACAAACCACAGAGTAAGTATATCAATTGCATCAATCACAATAAGGGAGCCACCTTAAAATTTCATCAGTACTCCGGGAACCCCAAGCCTGATGACATAACCAGGTCTTGAGGGCCTTCCTAAAAAACATCAATGTTCCCCTAAGCCAGTGGTTCTCAATTATTTTCTGTCATGCCCCCCCTAGGAAGAAGAAAACATTTCGCGCCCCCCCCCCCCGCGTGACTGTCTATCCAATCGGGTCCTTTGCATGTGTCACGTGCGTCCAATATAACAGTATTTGCTGAGGTCAAACGAGCCCCCCTTTACGGAGCCTCGCACCCCCCCTGGGGGGCCACCCCACTATTTGAGAACCACTGCCCTAAGCCCATCAATCTTTAGCTAACCAAGGCAGCTGAAGGGCAAAAGGAGTTCTGTCCTCCCAGTTCACAAGAACAGGGACTTCTGACCTCTCCTTTTTCTAGATCTGCAGCAGAGAGCAAAAGGAGCATCTTCAATGGCAGAGCCACAACTCTATTGAAATCAGACAGCTCTTCCTAAAGCTAGGTACAAGCAAGGCCACTTATTTGATGTTTATTTAAACTTAATTCAAATGAAGTAATGTTAGAAAGATTCCTTCTACCCATTTATTCGACAATATTCCTGCCGCATTAAAAATTACATTTTGATAACACTGCGGGAGGTCTGTAGGCTCTACCAAAGGCTTCTGAGGCTAGCATAATTCCTGAAGACCCAAGCTCACTCTGAAGGATTAGTCTGTGAGAAGTAGTTAAGGTTTTAAGAGTGGAGAAGTAGGGTAGGTGAACTTGGGCACAAGTTGGTAAGTCTGTATTCTAAGGCAAAGTTGGGAAATTATTCCTCCTCCTCCTCCTCCTCCCAGATTTTAAACCTATGAATCAGAAACAAAATAAGCATGTTAACCCTCCAGTTGTTTTAATGCACCTCTTTTTTTAAAAAAAAAAGTCTGCTAATCTCCCAACAGCCAAAAGATTGGATCAGATTTTTTGTGGCATCACCATCTCATCACCACAACTCCCCCTAAAACATCCAGAGGTTGAATGAAAAAAAATGGCAGAAAGCCACCTCCATGATATAACTGTTATATTTTTGCTTCCACTCAGCACGTTTACATCCTTCAGAGCTACTGCGGTTTTTCCTGAGGAAGCAGGAAGAAAGCCAAGAAGATGTGCGCGTGGTGGTACTGTTGCTGCTGTCTGAAATTGTTGAAGCCCAATGTAAGGATTGGGGTAGGAAGGTGGTTAGGCTCAGGACAGGTAGTCTCGAGTCCATTCGTTTATTGACTGTTCTAAGTCACAACTGCATTAAAAAAAAACAAACTTACAACTAGTCCTTGCACTTATCACTATTGCAACATCCCCATGGTCCTGTGATTAAAATAGTCCTGTGTACTGTAGCAACTTTAAGACATGTGGACTTCAACTCCCAGAATTCCCCAGCCAGCTATGCTGGGAGTTGACAACTCCCAGAATTCCCCAGCCAGCTATGCTGGGAGTTGAAGTCTTCACGTTTTAAAGTCTCCGAGGTTGGGAAATTCTGTTCTAGGATGAAGATCATAGTAGGCACTTGACATTACCCTGGGCAAGACTATGTGTAAGACACTAAGAAAAAGACACAGGCATGAGTTTATTGCTTCTTATATACTTGTTACATACACCAGCTTAACCATTAGATGCTGACAAAGGTTTCTTCATTGGAAAATGTCTTCATGTAAGCAACTATTTTCTAGTAACACATTACATGGTCAAAGACCAGGTAAGAACAAATACAGGGAGATAAAAGCAGAAGGAACTAACAAAGACAGGAAAAGATAGGAGAAGGAACTAAGCATATTGTCTGTTTAGGTAGGTGAGGCATTAAGTCAAAAGGGGATGACCTTCTGGCTGCTTCATTGGGACAAAGAGTATCAAAAGGTTATGAGGTTTGTGGGGGGGAAAGCACGGCAGTTTGCTGTGCGTGCATTTTTCCCCACAACTATGAAGTGAATTGAATTTGGTTTTGTTTAATTCTTCTGTGCATCTAACTAGAATTAACAGACTTACAGTAATATATTCTCCAGTTATGCATTTAATGATTTTCTCCCTCTGCCTTTCCTTCCGAACTGAGTAATTACTTTTCAGGGTCTAGAGTTCAAGGGCCACAAACAGGCAGGGATTTCAAGTTGTACATCTTGTATTAAGAAGCTTTCCTTTGCCTCCATCTTTTTCAGTGCCCGAGGTATGGAACAAGAGGCTGCTGTGTGTAAAGGTGGTGAAGGCTGTCCTGGTTGATGATAGCACCCTGGTGAGAGACTTGTATCTCAGCAGTTCTAAAATCTAATGTGTGTCAATAGCAATTTTCTAGTGAAAAACTTTGTCATTATTTCTCAGTGGAATATGGGAGAAAGGAATAGCAGCAACAAAGAGAACATAATGAGATGAAATTAAATAGAATGAAATGTTTTTGTGGAGATAGAAAATAATCTGCTGGTTGGTCTGGGGACATTCAGGGGAGTTCCTCAATGGAGGTGACTGCTGGATTGATGGCAGACTTCATCTCCTCCCCACCCCACCTCCGCTCTCTGCTCTCTGCTCTCCATCCATCCATCTTTTTGTTATCATATTGATGTACTCTCGTTTTCTTTTTCATTGGTTATTGTATTGTTCTATTTTACTTTTGTTTAGCCTCTTTTCTTTCTTTTTATTGTTGTAAGATGTCTAGAGTAGCCCCATCATGAGATAGGTAGCAAATAAATTTAACAAATAAATAAATGAATAAAATTGTCAGATAAAAATAATACAATTGGGCATCACAATATGCCTAGAAAATATTATAAATATTATAATCATCAAAGAATGGCATAAAATCATTGATTAAACAACATAGGAAGAGAAAAGGCTGTTGAACAGTCTCTTCATTATGATTTTTGAATATTATCAGGAAGATATTAGAACTGCAATAATATAGCTGCAGGAGTGAGGACAGGGCTGAATGTCTTCCACCCTGACAAGGTAGCATTTTTTTTTCCCTCTCAATGCCATCCCCTACCATCAAATCTCTGGCTGCTAGGTCTGTCTTGCAACACTCGAGGCTATTAGAAAACTGCTGTCTGTCGGTTATTTGGAAAAAATTGAAGGATGGCCTTTGAATTATATTGCCCTGCAGCTGGCCAAATCAGCCCATCAGCTGGTAAGACTAATCTGAAATTGCATGTTGGGGGTGGGAATAAAGTGGATGAGCCCAGTGACATCCCCTTATATTTTGGACAGGTTGTTCTCTCTCTCTTAACAGCAGCAGCAATAAGACTGAGGAGCAGGGGGGAGAGGGGAGAGGTCAACATTCTTTCCTTACCCAAACTCAGAATTTGAAATAGAGCAGGGGTGTCAAACTCAATTTCATTGAGGGCCGCATCATTGCGGTTGCCCTCGGGGGAGCAGGGGTGTGTGGCCAGGGTGGGTGCAGCTTACTGGGTGGCCGTGGATGGAGTGGGTGTGGCCTACTGGGTAGGTATGGCCAGCTCTACATCGTTCACGTCAAGGGTGCCTGTGGGGGCCTGGGCAGGAGTAGGACAGATCTGAGGGTCTCTGGCAGAAGGGGGCGGGACCGGGGCAAGCACCAAAGCATGGTCCATTTCTTCATTCCTCTCAAAGGGTGACACCTCCCCAGCATGCATCCAGGGGGCAGGGCCGACGCGGCAGGGGCTGGTTCCTTGCTGTTTCCAGATGGTTTTGTGGAGCTAAGACTGAATGCGTTTCAGCATAGATGGCCACCACAAAATTGTACATTGGCTCCCGGCCGGCCTGGGCCAGGGCCAAGGCAGCGGGGGCCATTCACTCAGTGTTTCCAGGATGGCTTCACGGGCCACATGAAACCACTTTGCGGGCCGCATCCGGCCCCCGGGCCTTGTGTTTGACATGTCTGAAATAGAGATTAACAAACAGGCCTGTTGCTATTGCATAACATACTAGGGTCCGTCACAAAAACTCACCAGCTTGACGTAATATCCGTATTCAGATGTTGGCAATGGCTACCTTCCCACAACCTTCTGTCTTTACCAACTACCCAACTCCATTTAATGTAACACAGCAGACCCCAAACATTTCATCTCATTGACCCCTTCACGAAGTTTCAGATTGTTCATCAATCCCCAAATATTTATTATGTAATAATAATTTAATGAATATTGATTTAAATAATAATACTGTGAATAATAATAAGCAAAGCTAATACCAATGGTAATAGGTGCCTTGGGTGCAATCCTAAAACAACTGGAGCACTACTTGAGCACCATCGCTATTGACAAAATTACTTTGGGGAACCCTGATCTAGCAGGATGTGCAAACCCTGGTATGGCTGGATATCCCATTTTTTCTTTCAGACATACTCAACATGGAGTCTTCCTTTGGGTGGTTTAAACGAGAAGGCCATAGAGAGAGTCAGTGTGGATCTTCTTCATTTTGCTGTAACTTCAGGAAGAGGTGCAAGTCAGGTCAGAAGCCCCTTAAGACTAAGCTAGCTATGTTTAATTTCTTTGCAATCATTTATCTTAGCTTTTGCTTCATTCATGACGTGGTGTTCATGTAAATTCATTCCTACAAATAATATTTATTTGCCTTGACATTTTGTTCCTTTTTTTTTGTATTACCATATAAATTGAGACATCTTGTGGGGGAACATGAAACAAAATGCAGGGGGAAAATTGGCACAGAGGGAAAGATCGAATGGGACACATAACAAACCTCATGTAAAAATCTGGATTAAATGCTCTTAGTATAAGGAAAAGGAAATCTTCTGAGAATAATATGTGTAGGTTCATTTCAGAAAACTTAAAAAGCCATCCATGCTTCTTTTAGTTCAGAGTTTCTCAATCTTGGCAACTTTAAGATAAATGGACTTCAACTCCCAGAAATCCCCAGCCAATCAAGTCTGTCCTGATGACATCACTACCAAATAGCTTAGAGCAGGGGTATCAAACTGCCGGCCTGTGGGCCGGACGCATCACATGGAAGCTGCACCCACCCCATTGCCAGCAATGGCAAAACTGTCCCGATATATTGCAGGATGTCACATGATGTCGTGAGTTTGACATGTCTGGCTTAGAGGGAAGTCAGGAAGGAAGTGACATACTGAGTGATTCTTTTAATCTGATACAACATAGTTTCATTTTAGCCACTTTAAACCTTTTATTTATTAGAAAAAAAGCATCTTCACAGTAGGTAAAATAAATATCTGAGCATTTATGATGTGCATTGTTCTTTTTATTGAATAAGTGATATACTGTGAGGATGGACAGACGGTCAGACAGACATACTGTACATATATTGAGATTTGATAGTGCTAGAGAAGAAGCAGACTGTGTTTAACTATTCTTTCCCTTCTGGTAGGAATTATGGAAAAAGTTGCTCAACTATCTAATGCAGCCACATTACACCAGTTTGGCTACACCTCTGTGCCAAGCCTTGCGGCTCCTGGCTGAACACCGACTGAGGTTGATTGTTCCAACACAGGCTACATTGGAGCCAGGTGAGTATTACAGGTCTAACACTCAGCTGGGCTCCTTCATTCCTTGTAGGGAGAGATGGTAGAAGCAACCTAGCTCAGGCATCTGCAGTTTTCTAAGAGATTCAGGAAAACCTTGCAGATCTCCCTGGCTATGAAGCATAATATGTCTCAGGCTATCAAATTATGAACTAGTGCTGTCCATTAGCCTGTCCATTTGTCAGTTGATGTCTAGATAAAAGTAGATAAATGCCACATTGTCATTAGAGCTAGGAAATCAGTTTCCGTCACTTCATGATTTACTGAAGTTTTGTACTTGTCTGCCTCATCCACATTTCTCTCTCTCTCTTTCTCTCTCCACCTCCCAGTAGATTCACCAACTCCCCAAGGATTGATGGCTCGCCTTATAGTAAGTGATGTAGCTGCAGAGTCCAGGTTTATTTTTCCTGCAACTTCACATGCCTTGTTGTAGGAATTTCGTCCCCTTTGATGCAGGAAGTCCATCAGTTTCCCAGGTCCCTAATTCTTCCTAAAATAGACTAATGACAGACAAGATTGGCTCATAGGAGGAATTTTCATAACAATCTAACCAACAATGGCCAGAAAGGCCATGCCTAGATTATACTGACAAAAAGCATTCCTATTTATATTCCAGTACATTATCTCCAGTGTAGATATTTGAAGGTGCACGGAGGAAAAACCTTCAAAAGTTGGCAATCTCCTGGACTCCAGCCAGTCCAGCTGGTCTGCCAGGCTATCCAATTACTGGATTCTTCTCTATTGTCTTCTCTATCGTCTTCTCTATTGACTGTGAGAGAGACCAGACACCTAGCTTCTTCAACCTATTTCTTCTTTTTTGTGGAGGCAGAGGGGATAAGGACATGGAATTATTGACCTCATGGAAAACCAAATAAGGGTCTTCCAAGAGATTGATATTCCTATAGGTAAGTGAAAATACAACTTGAATGTATTTTTCCCTTACAAGTTTCTTAACGACTAGGCCAAACTGGCTTTCATTTGCTGTCCTGAAAGTACTTGCATTATAATATGTGAAGAAAGTAACATTACCAGTTTCATTGTTGAAGTGTCGCTGTGTCGCTGTTTTTTACATCCACATTTATGTCCACATATTTTTATACATCTCAAGGACAGAAAGAAAACACATTCATGTGGCTATAGAAAAGCCTACTGGCAGATGGATGGTAATGAACTCAGCAAAGAGGTTGGGAAGAAGAATCTATGAAGGAAATCCCTCAATTATACATAACTTGAAAGCAGAAGATAGCGGGTTACATTTTGCCTTAGCTGGAAATTCTAACTGCTTTTCAAAGTAATCTGAAATATAATTAGGGCAGCATTGAGAAAGGTTTTGAAAATTTGGATATAAAATCATGTTGTTCCTTTTATTATCCTAATTTGCAGGCCTTTGCAGTTTGCCCTTTAGAAGGAGATGGCCGAGGAACTGCAGCACTTCTCTTGCTAAGTGCCTTGCGCCCAGAATTCTACAAGGATGTGGGTGAACATTGGTGGGTCGAAGTGCCCCTCCTGGCTCATTACCTGGAAGGTGAGATGAATGAAACCAAAGATACCTTGTCATTTACAATTTTCTGTATCCTTCTAACATTTAGTTAATGTGTGGACAATTTTGACACACAATGGGACTGCATACCAAGTTCTAAGCCATACTCTTCCTGACTTGCAAATGTTTAGTTGGGAGATCTGAAAGAGAAATTTATTTGGTTTGCTTTGAACATGTGTATAGATGCCCATATGATGCAAGACCCTAAGAAAACAGGGTCCTGGAGTGTATAAAAAAACATTCAAACAAACATAAGTACTATATACAGTTCTCTATCCAGTTGAAAGTCATTATTGCATTTAGGCAAATTCCATACCTGACTATAGTCCTTGACTTACGACCATAATTGACCCCAAAATTTGTGATGCTAACTGAGACATTTGTTAAATGAATTTTGCCTCATTTTATGACCTTTTGTGCCCCAGTTGTTAAGTGAATCATTGCAATTGCTAAGTTAGTAACACAGTTGTTAATTGAGTCTAGCTTCCTCTTTGATTTTGCTGGCCAGAAGTTTGCAAAAGCTGATCACATGATCCCAGGACACTGCAACCTTCAAAAATATGGACCAGTTGTCAAGTATCCGAATTTTAATCTTGTGATCGTGGGGATGCAGCTGTGTCTGGGGGGGGGGGAAACGGTCATGTCACTTTTTTCAGCGCTATTGTAACTTTGAATGGTCAATAAATTATAAGTTGAGGGCTACCTGTACATTTGTTGATGAAAATTTCATTTAAATAAAACATAGTTTGTACAACACAGTAATCTCAGAATATAGGTCCTAGCTTTTTATATCTCAAGTGTGACAGTAAGAAGAATTGTATAAAAAAATTTTAGCCATGGTGTGCAACTTTTCTAAGGCTGAATGGGTTGTCTAACTCTGAATTTCCAACTACTGCAAATAAAAGAATTAACCTTAGTTCTGAATTTTAGTACAGTATGTACAAAACAAGGTGTTTCTCAACCTTAGCCATTTTAAGATGTGTGGACTTCAAGTTACTGAATATCCTAGCCAACAATGCTGACTGGGGAATTCTGGGAGTTGAAGTCACATCTTAAAATGGCTAAGGTTGAGAAACACTGTGCTAAACAAGAATGGGGCCTACTTCAGGTTTGGATAATTCAATTAGCCACAATTAAACCTAAGATGCTGGTTTAAGCAATATATGGATTGGAAAGTAAGATTCCAACACCTGTCCTGTGCCATCATTTATAAACACAGGATGTCAGACTTAATCATAAATAGCTATCTATGGCAGCTGTAAATCTCTACAATGTAGGAATGTGAGAGCTCAAGAAAAAGAAAGTTTATTTCTGAAGCCAAGGGTCCATGCCAAAAATCCAATATTGAGAAATCAAAATGATTTTGGTCTTGTACCTGTCCAAACATCCCTAGGGATGTGAGGAAAAAAACCTACAATGTTAGGCACATCCAATCCATCCAGACTTCAAGGATTTACCGAACACTAACATGTTTGGAATTTGTGGAAGTGATGGCTTTTTAATGTGTAGTTGGCATGTTCATTTCAGTAGCTTAGTTAGATATCCTTCTGGTGCCCATATTTTTATGGAAATTCATCTCATTTCCAAAGGGTTTTAAAAATAATATTTCCTCCTGATTCTCTGGATAATGTTGGTCTCCTATGCTCTCCCCAAAGGCCACAGCAAGTACACATTACCACCAGCAGCCTGGGAGCAGAAGCTACTGGAGGTAACCCCAGTGATGTGAGCATGAACGTTTCCCACGGCACTGATGACCCTCTCTAATGACCTCCATTCTCCTGATGCCTCCACAGTTTCTGAAGAAATCCTTACAGAGAAACCAGGAAGAAGGCTGGAATCTAATCTTTGGGCAGGAGCTCATGAAGCAGATGGGTGTCTATCACAACTCCTCTAAAGAAAAAGTCAGTGTGATAAAGAATATTGGTGGTGTCCTTCATAAAAAGGCTAACCAAATTCCACCCTTTAACTCATACACTATGTCAGCCTTCCCCAACCTAGAGACTCTTCAAAATGTAGATTTCACCTACTGTAAATCCTCCACTATTGTGATCATTGTTGAGAATTCTGAAAATTAAAGCCTACACTTGGGATATTGGTTCTGGATGGATCTGGGTTTCTGTAGGCCATGTTTAAAGAACCTCCGGCTGTTTCATTTCTCTCCTCCAGATCTTCCTCTACAAGACTTTGGGAATTGCTCTTTCTGCCACAGGGGACATAGGTAGGGTGACCCAGCAGCTCCTGCATCTGCTCTTGCATACAGATTATACTGAGGAAGCCCAGCAAAAGGCAAGAACCACAGTCTTCTCCAAACTAATGAGAATTCTAGACTTAGGCCCATCCTATATTGCTATTTCTTCTGTTATAATGTGATCTGCCTTGCTCATACAGTACATGATGATGTTACTTTGTAATTCTAATCCTGTTTCTGATTCTGTATTCTGGTGTTCTGGTAATAACTTTCATGCCTTTTAACTATGAATTTACCTGGAATTATATAGCATTCTGCTCTCTTGATATAATTGGAAAAATATGCCTGTTCAAAAGAGGTTATTGTTGTAAATCATGCAGTGTTCTCTTTTGCTGTGTTCTGTATTTTATTTTGCCCCTGGATTTTGCTTTAGTAGAAGGCTTGTTCTCTCATGATAGAGAGAAGAGGACACACTTCCAAATATTTTTTAAAAAATGTTTTATTTATTTTTTTAGAATTACAATCTTTGGTGCTTAGTAAACAACATGTTGTCTGGGTTCATGTATTTAACATTAATGTTTTCAATATAAATCTGTTCAGTACTACACAATCCAGTATTTTTTCCCTGATTTTCCTTTCTTCCCCCCCGTTTTTCCAATTTCCCCCTCATTACACAGTTATAATTCTTGATACTATTTATATATATATATATATATATATATATATATATATATATATATATATATATATATATATATATATAAAGTTGAATATAAACATCATCATATTTTACTCAAATTATACAAATAATAACATCAATTCATAAATCAATATCCTGTTTTTCATGCTCTTGTTAAAGTTTAATTTCCCATCAAGTATCTTTGTCAGTTATGATTTTCTCAATATTGATTATGTTTATATAACATAATGGTTACGTTATATCAGTGGTTCTCAACCTTTTTAATGCCGCGACCCCAACCGGTCGTAAGTCGAGGACTACTCAACTGGTACAGCACCGTTTGCAGAATGGGACTTTTGGCGGGCTCAGCAGGGCAGAGACAGCCTGGACAATTCCTATTGGCTTTTGAAAGCCAATAGAATTAGACTCTATTCAAGAGAGTCTATTCTATCGGCTTTCAAAAGCCAATAGAATAAAAGGGAGTAGCACAGCTAAGGAAAAGGGGGAAAAAATGGCGGACTGCGTTGTTTGGCGACCCCTGTGAAATGGTCCTTTGACCCCAAATGGGTTCCCGACCCACAGGTTGAGAACCACTGATATAGCTAAAAGTTTTATTCATACCAATCCTCTTATTTTCATATTTCCCATATCAAAAAAAGAAAAAAAATAGTATTTTAGTTCTACATCATATCTTTCATTATAAAAGTTTAGATATATCTAAGGGTCATCCGTTCTTTTAATCATATTCAAACAGGTATTTAAACATGTAATGCCCCCTCTAATAGGTCAAATCCTCTGTTTTTAAATCTAACTCTTGCTTTCTTTCTTTGCCAAGTAGCTTTCCAAGCCAAGGCAATTAAATCACTCAGGAATTCTCTTTCTATTATTGTGAAAATAAAGAAATTATAGATGCCACTTCTGTTCACATCCGGAGGTTTTTAGCTTCTTAGGAGCCTTTCCCAGGAAATTCAGTTGTAAAATAATAAAGAAAGGATCAATATTCTCACCCAATTCCAAGTATGCTGTTTACGATGTGCTAATTGGTTTTTTCTTCTTTGGTTATCAGCAGCTAATGGCCAGCCACAGGAATGTAGCCAGTCTTTCCCCTGCTGGTTTGGAGGGCTTTCCTTGGATCGATTGGAAAGACTGCCATCTCTATGTGATCGATAAGGCACCCCTCCTCCTTCATCGCCTCTTCGGGGTGACTTTATGCCCTTTTTAGGGCCCACAGGGGGGTAAAATTAGGTGCAAAAGGCAGAGCCTTGCCTTCCTGAGTCCATCTCACCATGACGCAAAACTGGAAGTCTTCCACTTCCAAATATTATTAAGCCAGAGAAAAGTATCAGTATAGAGCATAGGTCACATTTGCTGATAATTTTATGGATTTTTTAAAATGTCTTTGATTTCTTCTATGACAGCAGGACCTGTAACAGAATGATCCACTAATGGATAGCTCAATTTCTCTAGGAGTGAGAAAATGGGATGAAAAAGATCCTAAAGGGGAAAGAGGGAAAACTGGATTTGACAGAGATCCTCTTCTGGTTTCTGGCTATCCCTTCTCTGTCCTCAGGGTGTTCGCTGGTGTCTGTCATACTGTGCAGAGGGGCAGCTGGTGGCAGTGCTGGAAGCTCTACACCACTTTGAGAAAGACATTTTGGAAGGAAAAGATTTGGCTTGCTTTCCGATTGGCCAGGTTCGGAGATTTACCACGACCTGTTATCTTCTTGCTCTTCTTGACTAACAGCTGGGAAGCTGGCCACATGAGAACATGGTGCCCTTTTAACAGAACATGCTTAAAGCATGTTTCAATCAGGCCTAGAGAGTCCACATGACGCAACACATGTAATCATATAGGCTAGGCTCCCCTTAATGGGCACCTTCTCTATGTATTGGCACTGCAATTCCCAGAAGTCCTAGCTCACATGCCCTTTGCCCTTTGTGTCTGTATCTTTGGTTTGCCAGTCTGAAAAGAGAGGTACAGAAGACATTCTTCTCCAGCTTGGATTTTAATTTCTTTGAGCATCCTTTTACAATTTTCTTTTTCTTTTTTTTTCTGAATCAAACTCAAGAAAATTTCTCTATCTCCAAGCATGAAACTCAGACAAATGGCACTTGGAAAGAAAAATACTTATTGAACAAGAAAAAGCAAAATTATTTCTGCTAACTTGCCATATTTTCTCTGAAAAAAAATTGGGACCACAGCAGAATATGGCTCTGTCATTAGAGTTTGTCTTCTTCATCTGTAGGTCTTACCTCAGCCAGAGAAAGAACAGGTGAAGAATACCCTCCTTCTATTATATGGTAGTGTGACAATCCGTGTTCCCCAGGAGCTGCTAATGCCTCATCTGGTCAGTGAGATTGTGCCAAGGATCCTACACCATTATATGACACCAAACAATTCAGAGGTGCGTTACCAGGGTAGCAGGATTCTGCTTCTTTTAACTGGTGGTATTGGATTTTGAGAGCATGCTTTTAGGGATGAAGATGGAGAAATGGGTTCTGGAATCATGAAGGGTGTAAGTTACAGGGAGAGATCTGTGTTTACATGCCACCCAACCCAAAAGTTGAATGGATGTTTGCAATAAGGTATCTATCCTCTGGTACTTTATTGTATTAGATCATTATGTAAGTCAAAAATAATAGTCCCCTAAAAGGTATAATGCTAATGCTGGGAAAGATTGAGGGCAATAGAAGAAGTGGATGACAGAGAATGAGGTGGCTGGATGGAGTCACTGAAGCAGTAGGTGTGAGCTTAAATGGACTCCAGAAGGTGGTAGAGGACAGGAAGGCCTGGAGGAAAATTGTCCATGGGGTTGCGATGGGTCAGACACAACTTCGCAATTAACAACAATAACAAAAGGTATAACATAATTTCATCTATAAAAAAGAATCCTGGTTGATTGGTAGACTATATTTTATGCTCCTATCTTTTGGAAGAACTAGTGTTCCTTTGTGGTATCGTTCAGAAGGCCTTCAAGACTTTCTTACAGGACTGATAAGGGCTCTACAAATTAAATCAGTATTTATAAGTAAGACTGTTACCTATCTTTTACTCAAGAAGAGTAGCCCTTTGATTATTCATTGCTTCCTGTTCTTTAATCCAAGTTCCTCTTGGAGTCAGCCTTCATCATCTTTTTCCCATCTCCATCCAGAGGGCCAGTGATGCTGAGCTGGTTCTGAGTTTTGCCCAGTGTGTGTCAGAAATCAGCCTTTCCATGCAGAGCAAAGGGAATTCCACTACCTTCCAGCTGCCTCAAAAAAGAGTGTTGCTTGACCTTCTCATGGTGAGTACAATTTGTTTATTTTATTTAAAATACTTGGCTTGTTGCTTGCAAAAATCACCTAAAGAGATTTCTTATACCTCGACTCAGGGAAAATTACTGTAAAGAGATGGAAAGATCACATACATTTACTATGTGTTTTTTTGTTCTGGCTATAGCTCTTGCTGCAAGGGACATGAGCATTTTGACTTATTGGTTTCTCCTCCTCCTCCACTGTAGAAAGTAGCTTTTTTGAAGGTTTTGTCTTCCAAAGATTCGTGCTGGGGATGATCCCGAAAGCTTGGAAGACAAAACCTCTGGCCCTGGTGACCGACCCAGATTGGATCCTGCAAAGTTGCCTTTGCCTCAGACAAGTTCTTCCACACCAAGGACCATACTTGGCATTTGATTCGCATGTGAGCTGACATGATATGGTTGATTTATAGATGCAGTGTTTATTATTTATTTATTACTCAAAATTATAGCAGGGCTTAACTTTTATTTTAATGTTCTTTTCTCTAATCATATCAAGGTTTTATTCTCCACCCTGAGTTCCTTCTAGCTAGACGGGTGGCCATATAAATTGGATAGATGGATGGATGGATGGATGGATGGATGGATGAACAGATGGAAGACAAAATTTAGGTTTGAATTCATTCCATTTACATGTCATTAAAATTAAATATAGTCAATCTCATACAATCATCACTGACCCTTCCCAATTGCTTTAAAAATGACTATATGGTGACATCTTTGGAATGTTTCTGGGGCTGTGTTATGGCCTAAAACCTCAACTGCTTATTCTGGAATGTTCCTTACTGAAAAATAATTGCTTGGAAACTCAACAGAAGGATCCCAATCTAAACCATGCCCAATTTATTTCTCTGCCATGCTGTTTGCTCCAGAATATTGTTAAAACAGAGTCCCTGGAGGTGCTTGTAACTCCTGTCTGTCAGCAGGTGATGGTTGCTCTTCGGCATCTGAGGCAAGTACCCATTGCTATGCCCTTCTTTTTAAGGTCAGCCCTACACGGATCAGTTAGAGCCCAAATAAAGACTGGGGAACCAGATTTTATAGCCTACCTTTAGTTCTGGCACACAAAATGCCTTAAAGCATGCACAGATGCCAGATCCTCACCTCCAGATAATAAGAAGTCCTTATTGGTTGAGTTTGGACAATATCTGAAACTAAATTACTGAATTAACACAATACATTGAATCTTTAGCTTATGAAAGCTAGCCAAGATTACCACGATTCAGGTTTTTGATATTTTGTGATGCAGCTAGTAGGTTTTTAAGTGAGCTGTAAAAGAAGCTGTTATGTGAACCCAGAAAAAGGGACATTATCTCTCTGCCACTCACCAATTCAGAAATTAATGTCTAGAACTTGCATTTTTTCGATTTCTGTCCATTTGATGACTGATAGGTGTGTAAATGAGGAGATGCTGTCAAAAAATCCTTTACTTTTTGGATGTCATATAAATGTTCTAAATGTGGGCATTCACAATAATTAACTAATCAATCAGAATAGAGCTAGGAGGGGCCTTGGAGGTCATCTAGTCCAACCCCTGCTCAAGCAGAAGACCCGGCCTATACCATTTCAGACAAATGGCTGTCCAGCCTCTTAAAAACCTCCTGTGATGGAGCACCCAGAACTCCTGAAGGCAAGCTGTTCCACTGTTTGATTGTTCTCACTGTTAGGAAATTTCTCCTTAGGTCTGGGTTGCTTCTCTTCTTGATTAGTTTCCATCCATTGCTTCTTGTCTACTGATCATAACTCGCATCAGCTGGGGAATGTGGACATATAAACCAGCACATAGAATTTTTGATTTGTCTGACTTTGGAACCTGTGGTGAGATATTTGATACAGGAAAGGAAAGGAAAGTGACTGGATCATATCATGGGGCCCAGTGAGACTCTCAAGGAACTGCTTTTTAAGCAGAATATTATTGTATCCTCAGCAAGGTGCCAGAAATGCTGAGCCCTGAAGAGAACTGGAAGCTGGCAGAGGCCTGTCTGAGCCATGTCTTTGCTCTTCCTCCTTTGAGGGTTGCAGAAGGTGCCAATCGGGTAAGTACTTACGTTGTGGGGTAAGGGTGCCTCCCTAAAGAAAGAGGGTCACCTGCTTTTTCTATACTAATAGATGCTTTTGTCTTCTGTATTTCAGACTCTATATACTGGTACTTTGACTTCCTTGTCAGAGCTGATGGAGACCTTACTGGAACCAGGAGCAGGAGAGAATGACTTCTCAGATTGGTTCAAGCAGATCTTCCAGGTGAGTTGGCAAGGAGAAGTACTTCATGCTTATTTAAATATTACTGCCTAGTATTCAAGAGAATGCATATAGTGTCATCAAGACTAACAGTAATTTAGACCTCCATTAAGTTATCTAGTTTGCTACATGACAGCATATACTTGCTGTATAAAGAAACACCACTTTTTACTGGTGCTAACTCTGCATCTAAATTTGATGAATAACCCTAAATTCTAATGGCGGATGATGATGAAGCCTTCCATTGTCTCCACAGCTCTTGGGCTACTGGCTGGTGTCAGAGCATGAATGGGAGCGTGCTCGGGCTATGCAGCTTGGTGTCCATCTACTGAAAGCTTATTGCCAGAGGACTAACACTTCTGTGAGTATGGCCCAGCATCTGCCAAGTGATGCCTGGCCCAGCAAAATATTCCCAGGGGGTATGTACTCTTCTTGTTGGAACCACCTCCATGAAGATTGGTCCAAGTTTCACCAAAGTAGCTTTTTGGAATTGTTGCTTCCAGCAAACTGGTTTATTCTGTAAAATGAACCAAAGTTTACCAACCCATTGCTTTTTTAAAAATAATCTTTCACAGATCTCTCAAAACCAGTTCAGCCACTTGATGGCACTGTTGGGCCCTTTCACTTATGACACACTGGGCACCATTCGTCATGGTGCTGGTAATTGCATTAGACTCCTGCTAAACATCCAAGGTGAGTTTAACAATGGAAGAGCTCTGCGTGTGTAAACTTACATAGGATTGCAGCCTCAGTGAATGAACCATTCAGCCATCTCAAACCACTAGACCTTTGAATTCTGTGTAGAGCCCATGTTCAAAACAGATAGTTCTTGGGCTACATCCCATTTGTTCAGCAACCGTTCAAAGTTACAAAGTTGCTGAAAAATTGGACTTATGACTGGTCCTCACATTTAAAACCATCATAACATCTCCACAGTGACATGATGAAAACTTGAATGCTTGGGTGAACAGCTCACATTTGCTATCATCGCAACTTTCAGTCCTTCATTTCCAATCCTTTTGCTGAAAGGATTTCTAGGCTCCTGTGGGGTGGGGGGTATGGCGGCAGAACACAGCGGCCTTTTCATCTCATCCCTACTGTTCAGGGTGGCCAAAAGAGCAGAGATAGCAATGGCAGCAGCACTTAGATTTATATACCGCTTCACAGTGCTTTACAGCTCTCTCTAAGTGGTTTACAGAGTCAGATAATAATAATAATAATAATAGTAATAATTAGGAACTGCTTCCATCCTGCAACACTATCTGTAATACTATCAAAGATCCACATCTGCCTATCCCAGGTCCTTGGTAAGGACTCGATAGGTAGACAAAAATGCCAAATCCAGTCTGAACATCTGGCTGACTGTGCAATGAATAATAATAATAATAATAATAGAATTGGAAGGGATCTTATTGCCCCCAACAATCTGGCTTCATTTTATCAATCTCGGAAGGATGGAAGATGGAGTCAATTTTGAGCCGGTGAGGATCAAACTCCTGGCAGTGAGCTGAATTAGCCTGCAATGCTGCATTTTAACCACGGCACCACCACTGCTCCTGGAGATGGAGATGGAGGAGGTAGATAGACATGTGGGGGAAATTGAAACACAGGCAATTTGTAGAGGGCAGGAGAAGCATGCGGTCCTTACTTAATGATGGCAACCGAGACTGCTGGGATTGTCATTGCTAAGCGATGTCATGTGATGTTTAGCTTGATATCTGCTTCACTTAGCATTGGAAATGCCAGTTCATTGCCTCATTGTCCTTCCCTTGATTTTAGGGAGAGAAGTTTTCAAATTTTGACACATCCTTACTACACTACTAAAACTTATTGAGAATGTTTTTGTATCTATAACATGTAATAACAGAGCATAGTATTCAGCCAACTCCTTCCTTATTCCTTCAGGAGCCACAAAGTTGCGTGAACCAAAAGTGCGTGTCAACCAACAGCGATTGTATTGCATCCAAAGGGACCTTCAAAGTGAGAGTAGTGAGACAATGCACACTGCCTCTCTCCAGTTGGCCAAAGTACTAAAAATTGGACAATTTCTTGTGTGTGACTGCATATCTGTGTGCATGAATACCTGCAGATGTTTTGACAACTGCCAAAGTGGTGATTGCTGAGGACTCTGGGAACTGACTTTCACACATTGAGATAGGGTAGAGGACAATTCATGGCATCTCTCTCTGACTTTTAAAGAGAGTTGTCAGTTTTTAGCAAGGGACCTGATATAGCATATTGTATGTGTTGCTGCTGATAGAATTAGTATAGATTAAGAAACTGAAAGTACCAGCTTTTCATCAAGTTTCTTGGGCAATCTTCCCCAACTGGGGCATCTTCTAAATATGTAGACTTATCTTCCAGAATTTTCAGCCGATACTATTTTGGCTGGAAATTCTGGAACTTGAAGTCCACATAACTGGGGGCACCCAGGTTGGAGAACTGCTGTCAGAACTTCAACAAAGCATGAGAACAAAAATGTAGGTACAGTCAGAATAAAATGAAATTTTCATCCTGGCCCATTTAGATAGTATGATTTTGCCTGTTTTGTTTTGTTGTCCCATCTAATGTTGAAAGATTACCAAAACCTTGTTCAAAAATAGGCATCTGACTTGGAGAAAATAAACCCCGAAAATTGGTAATTTGTTTTAGAAGAGTCAGATCACTTATAGCCTAGTTGGATACACAGTGTAATATGAGAATCTTCCTCTGCAGTGATATGTGAGAATGACCTTGGGAGACAGGAGGAAAAGCCACAAACCGGACAACCATCATGTAAAAGATATCTCAGTACCCAGGACAGGAGTGAGGGAAGCACTTCATAAAGGATCCTCCCTAGTTTTCCGGAGAGTAAAAGGAAAAGAGGGGAAAAATACTTTTAGTCTTGCAAAATTCTGTTAATATAGCCTTAAAATAAAGATAGAATTAGTACTTATAATTGGGCTTACAGATCCAAACTAAACCATGTGATGTAGAAGAGATCTTTCGGGATCTTCGAAAGCTGTTGATGTATTAGAGGGAAAACTGTTCTGCCTGTACTCAGTCCGAGTTCATAGTGTATGCTCAAGAAAGGATGAGGTGATGGAGCTCTGGCTTAAAATGAAGCTCCTTTGAACCTTCTTTCCTTCTTTCCTGATTCAGATTATCAGCTGTGTCCTGCCTGTCCAAGGAATCCTAACCTTCTTGCACACTTTGCTGGAGCAACTGAGGACTGTGAACAGTGCCTGCGACAAGGCTATCCTCTTGTGGTTTGAGATGGCTGTGAAGGAACGACGGCCAGATCTAAAAGACAAGGTAAAGCCTAAATCTGAAGAAACTAGGCCAAGAGCGACGAACCTGGATCTTGTTCAAATGCAATATTCAGCAGTTTGGCTGATAGGGAGGGGTGCTGAGAGTTGTAATTCAACAACTGCGTAGTCACAGGTTATCCATTCCTTGATCAGATGATGGCTGACAACAATTGGCTGGCAAGGAAATTTTTACTCGTGCCCTGCTGTATATTTCTTAAAGCTGATAAAAACAACATTCTTATCTCATTCAAATTCTAAAAGTATGGCTAAAATAAGAACTCAACACCTTTTATGAAAGCAGGAAAGTGGGGTCTGAGTGTATCTCCAAGGAACATATTGAACAGCTTGTGAACAGTATAGACCTTTGCCCAACTGATTGAGAAGCAGAACTTGAAAAGTGAGGACCTTTAAAAGAGCTTCTCCTGCTAGCCTTATAGGTGCAGACAGGTTCAAATTGAGGCAGATACTCCTTCAAATGGGTGGCTCCAATTTCTGGTACATCTAGGGTAGCCCAATGGAAGGTACATTGATGATGTCCCTAAAGCATGTGCGACTACTGCCAAATCTGACTGGCTCAGATATCTATGGAGATTCTCAGTCATCTAGGTCATGGTTGTCCCAAAGGTGCTTTTTCAAAAGGCAACAGGACTTTGTTTTTCCTTGAAGACATTTTTCTTCTCATCCAAGAAGCTTCTTCAGTTTTTCAGAACTAAAGATACTTCTTGGATGAGAAGCAAAATGTCTTCAAGGAAAAACAAAGTTCAGTTGCCTTTTGAAAAAGCACCTTTGGGATGACTGGCTTAGATGTAGTCACAGGATGTCTATGAGATGAATTTGTCAGCACTTCTTACTCTGATTGCCATCTGGGACTCCAGAAGTATCTGTAGATCAAGGAGCACTCCTAGCCTGAAGACTTCCAGTAGCAGCTGTTTCCTATCAGCCAAAAATACCTCCGTCTTATCTGGATTTAATTTAAACTTTGCTACCAAGTCAAAATCTTTGCAGGTTTAATCCTGAAGGATTAAGATTTTAGCATCTTTCTAAAACTGAAAGTTGCTGGTGAATTGGAGGTATTTTATAGAGTTTTCTTAGAAAGAATAAAACTTACATAATTTGTTTTAGGCTCACATTTATCTAAATACATTTCAGTCATGAAGAAAAACTGCAGATATAATTTCCTTGATGATGATGGCTTCTCCTTTTTCAGGTGCACAATATCGTAGATATCATTTGTTCCTTTTGGCAATATTCTGAAGACTCAGCTCAGCGCCACTTCCTGGCCCAGGCCATCTGTATTTTGGCTGAGCATCATCACAAAGCAGTTTATTTCTCTCTCCTGGAGCAACCCCTGCTTCAAGACAAGTGAGTGGTAGGCATAGGGCTGGCCTTAACCCTTAGGCAGAAAGGCATGGAGTGGTCACAAATTAATGAAATATGTTACTGTTGTATTTTTATTGTCTGGCAATCCTGGATGTTGCAGCATTTATATTCCACACATTTTATGTTTCACACAAAAATGTCATTGTAGGTCTTCTTTCTGTTTCAGCAGTAGTAATGATCTCAAATATGGAAAGAGACTGTCCCTTTCCGTCCATCCACTGGATTGATTCACATAACCTGCTAAACCTTGATCCTGGGTTAAGAAACCATAATTCATAGGTGTGCAACCAAATTACTTGTGTTCAAATATGCTAAGACAATAACTACATCCACAACAATTATGAAGCAACCTGTTTTAATCTAATCTAGTTTAGCATGCTGTGAGGATCCAACCAATATATTGAGAAGTGGTAAGGCCTATGCCAAGGAATTTCAGGAGAACTCAACTATCCTTTTAGGTTACTCTGTTTATATGAGACAAAGGCTGGGGGAAGCTACATATTTTTCACTAATTTATATTGCAAACTGGAGCAGAAATCTTCCTTCTTTGTTAATTCATTTATAACATATCATGCATCCTGCTGGTGTTCTATAATGATAATGACCCATCACCATCTTTTATTATGTATGTTTTCAAAAATGGAGGCAAATCTTGGGACAAGATGCTTTTTCAAGTTGTTCTCCTTGGCTAAGAAGACTTCCTCTTCTTTGTTTAATGCCTGCTTTAATTTATATCCTGCCTTTCATCAAAGGCATTCAAGACAATGTAAATGGGAGTTGTTCTCATGTTCTGTTCATAAACTCAGTGAGGTAGGTTGGACTGGGAGATTGGGGGGGGGGCAAATGGGTTCTCTGGTCAAATTTAAAATTCCCAGTTCCAGTCTGACACCACCATAACCAACATAACCCTGAAGAAATAGTATGTAGAGGCCACCTTTGTTCTCCTTACTTAGCTTATTAAAGAACCAACCAAGAAGTAGAAAGAGTAAAGTGGAAGAGCAGAAAGATTTTGAGGTCCTAAAGAAGAAGAGGAGGAGGAGATGAAGAGTAGGCAATGGTCAGATAAGAGGCATTCTCCTTACTGTCTTGGACTGTAAAGCCGGGGAGTGGGCGAGATATTTTTTCAGACTTGCATGATTCTTTTACTGTAACCTTACAATAAAGGTAGTGTTAGTATTCATGATTTGTGCTGTTCGTTAGGACTGTTTCCAAGAGCTGACTACAAGACTTCCAGCTGCCCTTCTCCTGGGACATGAGTCCTGGGAATATCCATGAATGGTAATTCTTGGTACTGGACTGGCAGACTACTATTGTTCTAAACTATCAACTTTTTTTCTATCTTCAGGGTAAAGAAGGAGCTGTGGGCATCGCTTGCAATTTATAAAAATAGTGGTCCTTCTGTCTTGAAGTGTTTGCTCACTTGGATGAGAATGGAAAGAAATGACACCTGCAGCTGCCTTTGGGTGAGAGCTCTGGACTTGAGACAGAGAGACAATCAGTATATCCAAGGTGGGGAGGCTGATTTTCTGCGAATGGCTGGGAAGAAGTTGAGTGGCTAGACAACTCATTTCTTGACAAGTTGGGAGAATTGCATTGTCAAAGAGCTGTTGCTAGCCAGGGTCAACAATACAGGGGTAGGTAGACCAATGATTGACCCAAGACAAATACACTTCAGATGTTCCATTCAATCTCTGTCCTTTTCAGGGTCTTGAGGCTCTCCAGGAGGTAGTCTTGACTTTGGATGGTTCTGCCACGTTGTTTCCATTACTGGCAGAGCTGTGCTACGTTCTTCTGCAGCAGCTCAGCAAATATCAGGATGATAAGATGCCAATGTTCTCTTTTTCTCCTCTAGAAAGCAATGGGAGTCTTGAGACAGAGTACATGACGCCTCATGGGTAACATTGTGCCTTTCCTAAAAGTAGACGGTTTCTTCTAAACCCCTCTCTTTCATGTTTCTGGCACTTTCTTCCCCTTAATACATGTTTGCCAGGAAAGTTTCACTACCTGCAATCTGATTGTTGCAAGATGTTGAAGATTTGTGTGGCACTGTCCAGAAGCCATCAATTGGTTAGCAGCATAATGTTGTCTGTGCTCATAGCATCCAATACCTGCAGTGACATAATTCAAATTTTGAGAATCATTTATTTTAGTATCTGTACACAAAGGCAAATGCCTTAAATTCAAGTGGGTACATGTTAATCTCTAATGTGAAATTAAGTAAAACAGTTTCCTCTTAAAATTGAAGCCTGTTTGCTTTATGATCTCTTTTCGTTTAAATTCAATCATATCTCAAAAAATTTGATCAAATCATTCAATTTGCCTTCATTCAAACATATCTCTTATATGGGATCTGAGTTTGTTTGCCTCATTGTTTACCCAGAAAAGATTGGTCTGTTTGGCAGGTTATATTCCAGCTTTAAATCTAAGAAAAGAAAAGGATGCAGTTCAAACCTAGAAGCTGAGGATTCACCTAGCACTGCCTCTTGCTGCAATCTGTAGATCTGCTTTCGCTGACTTGAAACACAGATGTCTTGGAACTATCTTGGAATTACATTCCTAGTCAAATGGAAAGAAAATTTGGGTGTTTTAATCCCAGCCTTTACAGAGGTTACTAAAATGAGGAAGATTACTGTAAATTCGTAAGGTTCTGCCTTTCATTCTGCAAATGCATTCTTTGCCTGTCCCCACCCTGTGACTGCCCTTCTGGCTACAGAACAGTTAGGTGCCATTGACTTGAACTTGACTTCTGGTGATGAATAGATATTTGCCATCTTGATTTATTCAGATTACTATGAATAAAATTTGCACACTGTTTTTCTGTCCCTGCTGTGTCCTTTGCATTCCAGGCTAGCTGTTAAGGTATTGCAGGCTGTGTTCAGCAGAGCTCTGCCAGAAATTGCAAGGGAACTGAACTCTGGAAAGGCCTGGAACTTCCTGATGGACCCAAGTAGCAGCCTCAAAGGTGTGGCCTTGTTGGCAAGGTAAGGGGCATATCCCTAACATTGGAAATCTCCCTTTTTTACTCACAGCAGGAAAAGTCATTCTCTAGATTTTTACAAGTAAACCTAAGAACTAAGATAGATTCTTAAATTGGTAAGGTCTGTTACCAAGGGTTTAGATTTGAGCTCAGCGTTTTTTAAAGTTCTATGTAAAAACAAAACAATTCCACAGTGTCTTTTGCTTTGAACTAGCATGTTCACCCCTGGAACTTGGAATTTGAAATACGATGAAAATGAAATTACACAAAATAACAGGGCAAAGTTGGCATATTTGAACTTTGAAAGGGTAGGAGGGAGTTCAGAGTTGTAATAGAAAGTTTTTGGAAGATTTGGGAAAACTAGTTTTGGGGTAATTTTGAGAAGAGACAGATCCTTTGATACCAAGTTAATCAGCACTTGATTGTTTCCTTCATCAGGGCCTTGATGCACACAAATAACCCCTTTTTAGATGGGCTACTCCTTCATCTCCATTCTTCTCTGCAGTCCTCCAGAGCAACATTTAGAGATCTTAGCCTGATCTTCTGCACAGAGGTGAGATGTTATTTCAGGTAGTGCAAGATAAAAGAAGTAGGAGAAATGGTAACATAGGGCTGGGGTGTGATAGCCTTAGTCTTGTGGAAGAGGGAACAATAAATAAATCATGTGCCATTGTAGAAATAATTAAGAAACATACTGTATACGTATCTTTCTACTATTTTTCATTGAGGAAAAATAATGAACTATTAAAACATCGATTTCCAATGGCCAGTTTGGAAATTCAGTAACTGTAATTTTGGTATTCCAGCTTATAGGTCATCCTCTCCTGAAGAAACCAGAAACGCTGAGCCTTCTTTTGCATTTATTACTAACCCAAGTTCAAAATGGAAACTATCTTATGCGTATCTTGTCAATGCGAGGATTGGGAAACATGGCAAAGGGTGCTCCAGAGGAGGTAAGCCAGAAAGTGCAAAACTGAGACATCTTGTTGTAAACAGGAAGGTGAGGGAGAGGAACAATCATAGTCTAGTGGAACAGGGACTTTGTGGATTGCTTTAATAAATATGGATTTGTTGGCAGTGATTGGCTGAGCTGCTCTTCTCAGAGAGAGGTTGGCCAGGCAACATAATCTTTGGCTGCCCTTGACTGAGCTGTTTATTAAGGGGGACCAAATAAAGAACAAACAAGTTGTCTAAAGAAGGAATAACCCAAGAGGGAGAGGAGTCCAAGAAGGTGTGTTCTCAAAGATGAAAGAAAGAGGACACTACAGAGAAGGGAAGGAAAATGGACAGTAGCATACTGGACCTGTTAGTGGGAAAAGAGCTTCTGGTTATCATATTGACCTGAAATAGTCATTCCACAATCAGTTACTTTTATTCTGCTAATAATAGATATAAGAAGTGGATCGTAGGGGATAAAGACAGTCCAGGCATTGACAAATAGAAGAATTGTTTCACAGGCAAAGAAGTACCAGAAAGCTTTGCTGAAGCCTCTTATCCAAGCTTTGCATGACAACTCCAGCCCAGAATTAGCCGCTGAAAGTCTACATGCCTTATGCAACTTATGCAGATGTCTTGGGAAGTGGCCTGCAGATTGTACTTTCCAGATCGTGGTCAGCCAAGCCTGTGTGCATCTCCAGCATGTAAGTTAGGCCACAGAAAGATCATTCTCCTGTTATTATTTCAGTAGAAAACTGTTGGACCAGGTCCTAAACCAGCATTATATTTCCAACTCTCTCCAGGGAGTTTATAAGTGGAGTTAGAAAGGAAGAGTCTTCCCTTTTGGTTGCTGTCCAGCAGTTAGTTGTCATTGAAAACAACAATTCCTCCTCCTCCTCCTCCTCCTCCTCCTCCTCCTCCTCCTCCTCCTCCTCCTCCTCCTCCTCCTCCTCCTCCTCCTCCTCCTCCTCTTTACTGAATTTCACCTGAAGACACTTAAACCCACCATTATTACTACAACTTATGACAACAAACATCTTGCAATCAGTTAAACATTATAGGAATACTTCTACTCAGTTATGAAACTGGAATTCCACCTTTCTTGTGGGGAAGATTGAAGGCTACATTTAGAGTCAGTGAAATATTTGGGATGTTATATGGAGGAAGCAGGAGGAATATGAAGGGGAAATGGAGGCAATCAAAGTATAAAATGATAAAGATAAAATGTTAATGGAGGCAATCAAACTATATATAAAGTGATAAACTATAAACGTTCAACATAAATGTTGGTACTAGCTGGATCTTTAGCAGATTCTCCATTTCTTATAATAAACAGATATTTCCTCTCTTTCAGCTCACTCTTTCCCATATTTTATATAAAATAAAAGGAGAAAGAGTTTGACAGGTACAAAAAAAATGACATTGTGAAAACAATTTTCCAGCAGCAATTGTAAATCCCACTGAAATATCACTGATAACAGGAAAGAAGCAAGAAGTGTGCATGAGTAGACTTGGGGAAGGGCACATGTATTCAGCATATCATATGTTGTGCACCCCTGACCTTCTAGCAATAGAGGAATTGCCTGGTTCTACCCCAACCCATCTTGGGAATGGATATTGAGTTTCCTGCTGTCAAAGGAAATCTTATTTCCTGAAGATGGGCTTAATTTTTCCTCTCTTTTGCAGGCAGATGATGCTGTCCGTGCTGCAGCCTTTGAGCTGCTTGGTGAACTGGCCAAGATAGTTCCACTGAGGTTTTCCAAGTTTTTTGCCAAGAAAGTGGGAGGTGCTTTGGCTGCCCTCATGTTACACTTCCATGATCCTTGCCCACATGTGGCCCAGGTTTGCTTGGGAACAATACAACCTTTCCTCTGCGCAGGACACTCTGTTCCTCCACAACAGATTTCAGATTTCAGTTGCACTAGAATGGGCTGAAATGTAATACAGTACTGGGCTGGCAGAGTGCCATTCCTGGGCTAGGAGGCTTGGGTCTGAGTAGCAGAAGGGATGTAGTATAGTAAACTTGCCTATCTTTTTTGCTTAGGCTTGCCAAACAGCCTTTATCTCATGTGCTCCATTCCTGGGTCTGTGTGGACTCTTAAAAAGTACAAATTCAGATTTACTGCTGATGGACCTTTTAGATAAACAACATTCTCACCTCATGGACAAAGTTTGTCAACAGCTGGTAAGCAGACAAATTTGAGCCAGGCAATCTCTTTTGCCATGGCTAGGTAGCTTAAGCTTAAGCCTAGGTTCCTTGTGGCAACCATATATGAATTTATTCCCATGTCTTTGCAGATCTTCTTACTAGGTATTATTACCTCACATGCTGAACTTATTACAGTAATAGTTCACATTCCACATTTGAATTCTAAACTGAATTCTAAACCAATCAACTGAGCAAGTTTCACACAATGTGCTAAGCCCAAGAAAATCTATCCAAGATTAATGCCAATCAAGCTTAGTATGTTGCGTAAATGTATCTGCCATACCTTTACCTCAGCTTGGTAAGCATATTTCTGAAGAAAGTCTTTGGGTCAACTGAGAGATCTGTACTTAAGAAAAACAATGAGTAAAAATGACTTCTACAATCCTGAGGAAGAAACTTAGAGGTATCTTTTGGCTTCCATTTTCTGTAAATGTTTATCAACTTCTTTTCAAACCAAAGTGGACTTGAGCTAATAGCCATGAGACTCTCAAGGTTAAGTAGGAGAGGAATGGGTTGATTACTTTTCTTAAATTGATATATTATTACAAAATAGTTTTTTGCTTCAACACATTGTAGATTGTTTTAAAAGCTGATCATGCCTCCCTTCAAACATTTTTTTCTTTTTTAAGAAAACCTTGTCATATTTTCCAAATAGGTGGCAATTTCTTCTTTATAGTACTTCTTTCTTTCCTGCATTGCCTTTCTCATTTGTCCCTTAGGCTCAGAGAAACCCATTGCTGCTGAAAACTGTCATGACAGAGGTTGCTCAGTATATATGTTGTAACTGGGAAGGAATCAGGCTTATGGCTTGCAAGCTGGCAGGTAGGCCATTGTGGCTAGATTTCCAAAATACTGTAACCCTATGCCTAAGTTAACAAAATTGAATAAACCATAACATGGTACCTTGGTTTACACATTATGTGAAGACTGTCATCAGGCTTGCTACAATGCCCTGAACTATCCAATTCTGTATAAGCTAATGGTAGTGTTCACACATGTTGATCCTCAAACTACTCAATTCCACTTTAGCTTAAGATTGTGAAATCCATATCTGCATATTGCAGGCATGCACATTTATGTATTGTGAGAAAGAGGCCTCTTTCTTTTATTTATACTAGGAATTCTTGTAGAGAAGGTGGAAACCCAGCATCTTGGACAGTTTGATGTAGAACAGCTCTTACAAGGTGAGCATTGTACACAAAGTTCTTTGATTAGAGCAGAGGTAATAATAATAAAGTTGGAAGGGACCTTGGCGGTCATCTAGTCCAACCTCCTGCTCAGGCAGGAAACCTTATACCATTTCAGACAAATGGCTGTCTACTTTCTTCTTAAAAACTTCCAGTGTTGGAGCATTCACCGCTTCTGGAGGGAGGTTGTTCCACTGATTAATTGTTCTAACTGTCAGGAAATTTCTCCTTAGTTCTAGGTTAGTTTCCATCCATGCAGAACTATATTCCAGACACAGGTTATAATGGTTCCTTGAAGGTCTTGTTAGAGACACCATTACCAAAGGTGTATTTGATTTAAATATTAACAGTATTTTAATGATCCTACTCCATGCATTTAACCATTTTCCCCTTTCATCACATTCATACTAAAATCTATTAGCCATATGTTGATCTAAGAGAGGGAGCCTGATGGAAAAACCAAGCACAAAGCAGTAAAAGAGATAAAATCCATGGCCATGATTGAAATTATTGATCAGTTTCCCATCAAAAATCTTGGTCCTTGTTTCTTGAAATCACTGTTTTCCTCCACCAACACAAACAACACAAAGGAAATATTCTAATCTGCTAACAGTAAGCAATAACTAAGTTATACCTGCACTAAAAATGTATTATAATTGTGCTTGTGCAACACACTATTTTGTTACTAAATTAATCTTTTGGGAAGATGTGCACAATGCAGTGAAACATAACTTTTCCTAACATGTTGGGTTCACACAATATAAGCTCTACACCTGGATTAATAAATTGCCATGTTCATATACTGTAACATGCAGTGCTGAAGCTAATATTGTTGCTGCAAAATGACTTGACACTATGATTTGGTTCACATAGTCCACAAAGATATGGCTTGATTTGCACAATCTATTGAACCACACATTATCCAGTTGGTCCTTAGTCTAACCTAGTGTGTGGTACAAACCCAAGCCATGGAATTAATTTAGCCCAGAATTCTACCATGACGTGACATAGCTGACTAACAAAAAACCAAAATAACCTTTAACTGAAAGGGAGTCTGAAGCTACAATGATTAAATATGAATTTTAGGCTACAGTTGCAAGCTTATGCACAAAAGACTTTTGTCAAGATGGTAGGAAGGACCAGAAACATGGTAGCTTCTGGGCTAACCTTTCTGTCACAATGCTTTTCATCTCACCCTTCACAGCTCTACACTCCGCGAGTCGTGATCCCAGTACCACTGTGATCAGTGCAGCCTTAGAAGCCATTCACACTATCCAGCAGAAATGGCAGGAGAGCCAGACAAGGTTGGCCTCTGGACACCAAAGGAGAGCTCTGCTTTTGGGATGGTTCTTCAGGAGGCAGCCCAAAAAAACACTGGGAGCTGCAATGCCTAGGCCAGCTTAAAGACAAGAACCATCTGAAAAGAAATGGAAATATAGCCTCTTTCATAGTTGGTGTGAGTGATGGTGTGTATTTTCCAAAGAAGCATCCTTTTGTCTCTTGGCTATTTACCCTTCAAACTTGAGAAGCAACAATCAAGGAAATGAGTGGGGTTTATGGAAGGGATTCGCTGATATCTCTCTGCCTTTTTCTTTTGCCCTTTTCTGGTTGTCTTTTTTTGGGATGGAGGGGGGTGGAGAGAGGAACTGATGTCCCACGCAGAGATCACTGAATTAGAAAGTTTGAATCATTATTGTGGGGGAAGGAATTAGCTGAACTGCTGAAGAAGAGAAGCAACAAATGGAAAAATAGCTTGCAGCAAGTTCCTGTGATATGTCAGAGTAACTCACTCAACTTTGCAATATTTGAGTATTTCCATATTGCTTACACTATTATCTAAGCTTTCCTAAAGTAATATAAAATACATTTCAGTAGGTAGAAAATATTGACATATTAGTTGACCTATCAGTGTCCTTGCTGCCTTGCAAGATGCTTAAAGATTGTCATTGTTGAGCAATCTTGAATTCTTCCTCCATCGCATCTGAGAATATGTAGACATTAGAGCTGACTACTGCTGAACCCTATGGCAGACTGGAGCAGGTAAGAGAGCCTTGAAACTCTCTTGGGAAACAGTTGAGAATGAAATAGATAAGATTTTCACTTATGAGCCCTGGTTAGAATATAGTATTGCAGGCTAACACTGCCCACAGCGCAGAGTTTGGTCCTGATGGGGCTCAAGTTTGACTCAGCCTTCTATCCTTTTGAGGTCAGTATAATGAGGACCCAGATTGTTGGGGGCAATAGGCTGACATTGTAAACCGCTCACAGAGTGCTGTAAAAGCACCGTGGAGCAGTATATCAATCTAAGTGCTTTTGCTATAGGTACAGAATTTCTCAGATGAGAGTGGGGAAGAAACTGAAATGGGTCAAGGAGTTAGTAGGATGGGAGTTGCTATCTGAGATGCTTCCAGACCAAGTGGTACTGTGTGTGGGTGTTTTCAGACTGCCATCGATATATAAGTCCTGAAATAAACTAAGACCATTGAAGATTAATTCCTGGGTGATTCAAGTTCACTGAAGAGACACTGCAACATAGGATCACATCCATTAGGTGCAGAAACGAGGAAAACAGAATTGAAAGACATTATCAATTTTTACCTGACATGAGGGATTACCAGTGAAGTTGTTACTGAACTCTAAGGAGAATTTGGAATAAACATACTGTGATAGAAGTATTATTATTTCAAGTAGGGAGATGATTGAACTCAGAATGATAGAGAACTTAGGCCAGTGATGGTGAACCTTTGAGAGACCAAGTGCCCAAAAACCGCCCTGCCCCCCACCCCGCCCCCACTCCGCGCCCCGCCCGTGGGGCCACCCACCACCTCCATGGCCTGCAGCAGATCGCTCAGGTGGCCCAGCAGCACCATGGCCATGCCCTCCGTCCATGCCCCACAGCATCATCTGCGTGCAATGAGGCGTGAGGGCAGAGTCTTGTCCCGGCTACCATGTCCTTAGCTGCTCTGCTCTGTGCAGGCTGCACCTGGGGGCAACTCTCCACCGAGGGGGCTGCTGGTGAAGGGGGGCCCACGGGGAGGGGGCTGGGGTGACGGCATGTGTGTCCATAGAGAGGGCTCTGAGTGCCGCCTCTGGCATGCGTGCCATAGGTTCGCCACCACTGACTTAGGCAATCAAAATGACCTTTAACAGAAGGTCAATTTGTTTATCTTCTGTGCTGCTTGCCACTTACAGAGCTATCTACTGTAAAAATAAAATTCTCCAGGAAGCTATGGTAGTAATAAAGAATGCTGCTAAACGCCAATCTTCCATGCCCTTGGTCTCAAAGCCTACTTTGAAGGCAGACAGATATAATATTGCAGGATCCAATCTGAGTTGGTCACCAGAACTAGAGGTTTGTTCTTTCAAGCTTTTGGATTTGTGCTGGGGCCCATCCTCAGGGAATTTCTCAATGTCCAGGATGTGTTGGAGTTTGAGAAGTTCCCTGAGGATGGGCCCCAGCACAAGCACAAAAGCTCAGAAGAACAAACCTCTGGTCCTGGAGACCAACTCAGATTGGATCCTGCAAAACCTATTATGCTTAATAGTACAGTAGTTTACAAGCTGGATTCCTGCACGTGGTATTATCTAGTTGGTTTGCTCTAGTTTGTACAAACCAAAGATTTTTCTGAAAAGTTTATCAAGTTGGAGGTGGTGCACATATTGACTCTACTGCATTGCTGGGTACTTCAGGGTTTCTTCATGCTAGTGGAGAAGAAAAGGCAAGACTTGGCACATCTGAGATATCTGCACAATCCCTATTGTGGCAACCAACACAATGTCTTCCTGCAGATCTTGTTCAATGGTTGCAGTTGGAAAACCTAGTGTTGCATCTTGGTTTGGGGCAGCCTGCTATGCATGGAGGCTGCTGCTGCTGCTACTACTGTCACTCCCATTCAGTGAAACCACCATAGCCACTGTACTGCTTTCCTTTGATCAGCTCAGACACTTTGAGAGTGAAGAGCAGGAAGTGATCTGGTTGTTGCATTTTACTTATGTAGATTATTCTACAAATACAACAAGAGGACTGCCTGAAGGACCTCTTACTTTATAAGCATAGAGCAAAGGTCCCTGTTTCTGATGAAAATATTTATTCTTTCAACTATATAAAGAAAACATTTTATTGGGGGTCCTTGTCCCCTGGGGATTTCTCTTGAACTGTTGCAGATTGGGTCAGGTTGCTGGCTGACGTTCGAGAGAAAACTTTTGAAAGAGCAGTGGAGACTTTCTCAAACACAGAAGATCGTTGGCGGGGTGGTGCGCTTCCCTCGGGGTTAATGGTTGCCGTGACTTTTCCATCCTCTTCTGTGGAATGAAACAGAGCTCTTGTCATGGGTTTGCATGCCTTAATATATCACTGAGGCATATAAAGAGAGACTGGGAAAGTGTAGTGACAATGTGGAAAACCATTGTTATTTCAAGGAGTTTAGTATTCCTTCAGATTAAGAAAAAGTCCGCAGTAGTTAGATTTCTTTTTAATTACTTTTGTTTTTGCGAATGATTGCTAAATAAGGTAGCTGCTAAATGAAGAGTAAGTGTAATTCAGCTGAATTAGCAGTGACTCTTAAGTGCATCTCAGAAGCACAAAATGATCCTTTCCAATACTGAGTAGCCTTTCTCTTGCCAGTTATTTGGAATCCAATGTTTTTTAATCAATATACCATAAAATGTACTAAAGTAAGCATCAGGAGAATGTCTGGTGGTTATTCCAAGCACAGAGGCTCTACTCCTCTTTGACTTTGACTAGAGTTAAAAAAGCAAAGGTTACTGGAAGCACACCACATACCTGTCTGAGTTTGTGATGCAGAGTCTGGGATTTGGAAACTTTTGTTCTGATAGACAGAGGTAATCTGCAGAAGCAGAAAAATATGAGAAAATAAGAGCACATCACTTCTATTTTAAATGTATTCAGATTCTTGGTCCTGGAATTAAATTTATCAGAATTGGGCTGCATATCCTTGAACTGCCATTAGATGGCAGCAAAACAAAATAAAACCTACCGTACTGCCATTTATATTGGTCATTTGGATTTTTGTAGTCCATATCTGATAGTCCTAGATCAAAAGTGTCATCTAATAGTCCTAGATCAAATACTGTCTGCCCAGATGGGCAATAGCTCTATAGAATCTAGATTCACCCAACTGATTAAAATATGGATGGCTAATTTCTGCCTAGGTTTGATCCATGATTCCTAGTGGTGTACGTAGTTTATCGTTCAAAAAACTCACACAACTTAATTCAATAACCATGGCTGCACTTACAGCATGTAAAACACATTGACGAATTAACCCATTTTGTGGGCTTTACTCAAAATTTAATAAAATTTACTACATACCAACCTTTAGAACGAAGGTGGAGAGTTATTTACTTTCTCTGGCTTTGAGAGTCATGAAATGGGATGCATTAACAAAATTTTGTTTAATTTAAATATTTAAATGACCCATCCCTGTGCATTTAACCATTAACCCCAACACCAATTGGGGTGTTGGTTATTACCTTTAAAGCTCTATATGGCTCAGGGCCAGGCTATTTGCGAGACCGCCTACTACCTCATAGTTCCCTTCATCCAGTTAGATCCCACAGGCTGGGCCTCCTTCAGGTCCTGTCAGCCAAGCAGTGCCATTTGGCGGGGCCGCGGGGGAGGGCTTTCTCTGTGATGGCGCCCACGTCTTGGAACCAGCTCCCCCCGGAGATTAGGACCGCTCCCACCCTGTTGGTTTTCCGCAAGCTGCTTAAGACCTGGCTTTTCTGGCAGGCCTGGGGTTTATAAAACCTGACCCCTGGATGACTGTTATTGTATTGTTTGTTTTGTTGTGTTATATGATGTTTTTATTGTTAGCCGCCCGGAGTCCTGCGGGAGTGGGGTGGTTTATAAATTTTAAAAATAAATAAATAAATAAATAAACACAGGCTGGGGTTGCATAATACTGAGCCCACAGGGGAATGGTCTTCAATAGACCTATTAAGTGCATTATGTGAATTCAGTTCATGAGTTACTATGTTTGGTGATTACAAGGAAAGATATTTTATGAGCCTTCACAATATTGTCCGGATTAATTAGAGACAGCATTTGAGAGGATGGAGAATAGCCAATCAAGATCCAATGTAGAATGATGATTTAAGTGCTGGAGTAAGGGCACCCAGGTTCTAGTCTTCCCTTAGACACAGAAGCCAGTGGGGTGACCTTGTCCCAGTCATTCCCTCTCAGTCCAAATCATCATCAGACACAGTGACAAGGCACCTGAAAAAGAAAATCTCTCATCACATCATCCATGTGACCTAGGTAAACTGTGAATAACAAGCAGATATTTCAACCAAGCAGGCAAACACCAAGAAGCAGAAGATATTGAACAGCTAACAGATACCAGGCATCTAAATCTCTAGGATATTTTGGCTTTAATATAAACACATAAATGATAAGGGATAAGCACTGGAAAAACCCTTACGTTCTCTGATATAATGGAGCCTATAACTTGATAAGACTCATCAATGAAAAATTGATTGCACCAAAAAGCATGTGGCATCTTCTTTGCCCTCAGCTACTATATCTCATCTCTCATCCCCCCCCTCTCATCTAATCTATATCCCACCTTTATTACTTTTATAAATAACTCAAGGTGGTGAACACACACAATAATCCTTCCTCCTCCTTCTATTTTCCCTACAACAATAATCCTGTGAGGTGGGTTGGGCTGAGAGTGTGAGTGACTGGCCCAAAGGCACCCAGGTGGCTTTTATGCCCAAGGCAAGACTAAAACTCAGTCTCCTGGCTTCTAGCCTGGTGCCTTAACCACTACACCAAACTGACCCTCGAATGCCCAGGATTTTCCATTCACAACCTTTCTAGGATAGCCATATTAATCGGATAGCATCTTTTCTTTTATTAAAAGTCAAAAACTTTTGCGTAGCTCGTGAAAGCTTATTACATCACACTTGAGGCACTTCTGAGGCACTCCAGGTTGACAAACTTGATGGAAGGCAGAGGTGTGAGAGCTGGTCTGTTCCAGTCTTCAAGGCCTTGGAGCTGGGAAAGGAATGCGAATTCTGCCAAATGGCACCAAATATCTGAGTGGTTCCAAAAACACCTATGCAGCATGCCATTGGACAAAGACGCACTGCTCAAAGGGGGGGCGGGGCTGGGCCTGGGGAGAAGGGAAAACTTTGTAATGCTTTACATGAGAATTTTAGTTCTAGCCTTACTTTTGTGGCAACCAGTAATCCTTAGTAAAAGAACCTATCACTTCAATTCAATGGAGGCAAGGGTCTTTCTTTCCTAGGGACTTAGCTGGGGCAGGCCTGACACTGCCCCACAATAACACTTGGGTCTAGAACGTGGGCTTGCTAACCTCCAATCCAGTATCCTAACCACATAAGCCACCATATTCCTTATGAAAGTTTATGACTTTTAATAAAAGTTTTAGTCAGAAAAAGTGGTACTGAACTCCTGATTTTTACTCAGTACCAGAGATATAGCTAGAAGCATATGCCCCTTCTAATGCCTTTACCAAGCTCCATTTTTACAAAGTTCTAAAACCAGAGGATTTTTTTCTAAGAGAAAGGTA